GGAGAAACCTGTTAGGCCATTGGTACTGTATCATTATGACTCATGCTATGGTTGTCTTTTTCATCCTTTAATGGGATCTGTGGGAATGGCAACCTTCCCAGCTTCCTAAGCAAGTGCTGGAGGGAGGGGTACTATAATGGGGACTTGTTAAAATGTGAATTGCACAACAGCCCCTCACAAAGCCAAGAAAAAGTAATTGCTAAAGAAGAATGGTATTACTAAACCACTATCTTCTCCAGTGCCATACTACCAGTTCACATCATTGCTGACAGGGGCATTTTGTGACACTGCAGAGCCATGAACCAAAATTTGGAAAAAGAAAATTGTAGTCCTCATAGAACAATGTGGTAACCCAATAGCAACTGGCAAGGTGGGATCTTACCAAAAAAATTCTTTTTTTTTTTTTTTCACTAAAGCAGTTTCAAAATCCAAACATAAAATGGGGAAAAAATTTTTCCTCTTGTTAAGACCTCACTACTGAAACAGAATAAATTTTGACATAATAGTTTATGGTGGGCTTTTTCAGAAGGCAATAATGATTGTAGACTTAAAATAACTAGGGCTTGCCGTGTGAAACCATTTTATCCAAGCTGCCAAGATGCTTAGGAGCCATTGAGTACCCTGGGGAAACTGGTCAGACTGGGGAATACAGCCAAAGAGAATTATTATACAGACACTGGCACATGATGGAAACCAAAAACTGAAGACATTCCTGGAAAAGCGTTTTTACTCTCCACAGTGCTCTCTCTTGCAAATCTATCTGTTTGTTAAAAAAAATTTTGTTCAGATTTCAATCCAAATGCAATTACTCAGAGAAGAAAGGCATGAAATAGCTTCTTTGACTCCTAGAAAGAGGAAGAGGGTGAGGTACAAAAATAAACACAAAAACTGTACAGGTGGCACAAACTATAAAAGTAGAACAAGGCAACACATCTGAGCTGTGGAATCATGGCTTGTCATCTCATTGAAAGGGAAAATTTGATAGTTATTTTACAGTTTCAATATTCCTGTCATTTTCTAAGTCTTGTTTAATCCAGGCAGAGACACACAGAGGCCCTCAAAGATTGTTGGTTGTATTATTTTGTGAGAACCCAAATCTTGTTTTTCTAGAGTAACAAAATTCTTTTGGTCAGTGGTTTCAGCCTTTGCTGTACAGTATCACCTGGTGAGCCATAAAAATACTGACACACAGATCCTGTCCTGAGCACATGAATCAGAATATCTGGAATATATTTTTAAGGTCTCTGAAGTTGATTCTCAATGTGTATCCAGATCAGAGAACCCCACTATGCTTCTAGGTACAGAATCATTTCATATATAATTAATAACTGTATCTAACTCCAAAAATAGTACCTACACAATGTAGAGAAATAGGAAAAAAGTGTGAGAAAGCACATTTTTAAAAATCTGAAATCCCCCCCCCCTTTTTGGTGGTGGTGGTGGTGGTATATTCCTATTCCTTTTTAGTTTTTTATTTTTTGCCAGTGTCTCATTAAATTGCCCAGAGTGCTGGGATCACAGACGTGTGCTACTACACCCAGCCTCCTTTATGTGTGTATAATTTGAACCTCTTTTCTAGGAGTGTATATGCATGGAGCACATTTTAGCAAATTACTCTGAGGAGCCCTAAGATAAAAGAATAAATGTCTGAGAGTACTCCATTGAAGCTGAAGTGACTTTATCGAGTTGTAATTTAAATTCTTTATAGCAATTATGGGAATGGGTTAAATAGAAGGAACTTATGATTCAAACAACTAACTTAATATTTTCAGAAGTGCTCATTTCAAAGTTACTAAAGCATAACTAGAGTATCTTGAATATTAGACTGAATTGCATGAAAGCTATTACCCCAATAGAATATTAATATTTTATGTATATCCTAATTTTAATGTTTTATTTTACATAAGTGTAATTACAGTATATTCATACTTGGTTTTGTATTTATTTCCAATTATTTAATCACACTTATTAAACATTTATTCAATACAGCACCCCACCCCCCAGTTTTGCTTTCTGTGGTTCTCTTACCAGCATTGTGTAGTTATCCTAGTTTCAACTGTGGCCTGAATATATTACATAGAAAGTTCTAGAAATAAACAATTTCTGTTTTCAGTTGCATACTATTCTGAGTAGCATGATAAAAATCTCATGCTCTCCCACTCTACCCTACTCTAGACATGAACCATCCCCTCTTCCAGCACATCCACTGAGAACCCCTCGAGGTTATCAGGTTGACTGGGTACTGTAGTGTTTGTGTTAAAGGAAGCCTTATTCTACTTAATGAAGGCCCCCAGTGCAAGGAAAACAATGCTGGTAAATTGATACACCAAAGAGAAGCTCTAACATGCTTCAAGTGAGAAGCTCAAAGCACTCAATAAGGAAGATTAAAAAAAATTGCATGTTGCGCTTGCTGAAATCTTCAGTGGGAACAGATCATTTCATATTTCACTACAGTGACATCAGCCTGGGCAACGTAGGGAGACCCTGTATCAAAAATAAAAACTGGACTGAGGATGTAACGCAATGTGAAGGTTCTAGGTTCAATCCCCAGTAGGGGGAGCTTACATAGGGTATGGTAGAGAACAAATAGTTCAAACTGGTTAAGTGCTATTATGCAGAATACAGTGGCACAGAGAAGACTGCCCAATAGGGCCCTAGGGAAGCTTGGGGTAAATCTCAAAAGTTCATTAGAGACAATGTGCTAAAGGCAGAAAAACAGAAAAAAACATGGAAAGCAATCTATATGCTGAGTCTTCCTATGATCAGATAGGCATGCCTTTCAGCATGGATTGGATGGGGCAAAACTTTTCCATTTCTGACTTAAACTTCCTGCTACAAACATAATACTTGTAAAATAAGAAAACAAGGCAGAGGTGGAAATCTTCAGCATCTGCAATCAAACTCCACCTATATCAAATAATTTGGAGTTAAAGAAAAACAAATTTAAAAAATAATACACTACCACTTTTGAACTGATAATTTAAAACATTTATAAAGATGGTAGAATGTGAATGTCTTAGTTACTTTTCTCTCACTGCTGAGACAAAATACCCAACACCCACAAGTTAAGGGAGAAAAGGTTTATTCAGCTCAGTTTGTACAGGTTTCAGTCCATATTGGCTGGCTCCAAGGCAGGGTGGCTTGGCAAAGGGGCATTGCAGGGCAGAACCAATTCATGGCAAGGAGAAGACGGCAAAACCAAACGAACAAGGGAGAAGACAAGCCTCTTTCTGTCCCTTATATTGTATCCGAGCTACTAGGACTAGATCAGTGCCAAACCAATCATTGGACTGATTTAGTAATCACGCACCCTTAATCTCAGCATCACACACTCTAGATTCAGTCACCTCTGAAAAAGCCTCACCTATGACCACGAGGCTTTGGGGGGACAGCTAGACATACCAATTTTTTCCATTGAGCATTTTAAATGAAACTTCTTTTAAAATCTGCACACTCAATTAGCAATTCTAAGACTAATTTAAGGAAATAAGAAAAAAACTTCAAGGATATTCACTGTATCGTTGGTTATAAAGAGGGTGCATTGGTTATAACGGGAGTGTAAGTAATGTGCAATACTGGGTTTAATTATGATATAGGTATCCAACTGAGTACAAACCCAATGATGCAGATTATTAATGACATTTAAACAGTGAAGAATATGTAGCAGGTACCATTTAATTACACAAAAACTTTCAAAGATAGATGATCTAAATTTACATATGAGGAAGTTGAAACACAGTGGCTTTAAGGCTATACAATTAAGTGATGAAGTCAAGATTCAAAAAAGAGGCCACATGAATCCTGAGCCCATGTGCCTGTCCACTCTCACAAGGCCACGTTGTCTGTGTGCAGGATGGAGATGAAACTATGTGCCTTGCAGGATTACTATATGAGTTAAATTTAAATGAACACAAATCTCCAGGTATGCGGTAGGCATACAGTACTTTGAAGCTATTAAATAACTCTCTGTAGGTCTCACAATTAGTGATGAAGCCGGGATTCAAAGTGAGTAATTCTTTTTTTTTCCAGTTATTTTTAAAAATTAATTTTATTGGTACATTTAAGGTATACAATATAATGACATTCATCATTGGAAATTTGCACCTTTATACAATCCATCTTGGTTCTTATTTTTTCCCCATTCCCCTGGTCTCCCTTCAACCCGTGAGGATTTCAACTTATTCCTGGAACACATAGTTCAAAAACCGTTTCTTGGGGCCGGGGATTTAGTTCAGCGGTTCCGCAGCCTGCCTCGAAAGCGGAAGGACCCGAGTTCGATCCCGGGTAACAACAACAATAAAAGCCTTTCTGGAAGGCTGAAGCAGGAGGACCGCGAGTTCAAGGCCAGCCTGGGCTGCACAGTGAGCTCGAGGCTGTCCTGGAACACGAACCCAAAATCAAAAAGCAAAATTAAAGATAGACAATAGGCAATAGGGAGACAGATCTCTGGCAAGTGGGAAGGGGACTAAAGGAGGAAGAGCGGAGGGGCAAGGGGTGTAAAAAGATGTGTCTTGACCCATAATGAATGAATTAATGGTGTATCGAAAGCTTGTGCTAATAAAAAAAAAATTTTAAGCAAAGAAGATTTTCTTGGCTTCAATTCCTAACACACAGTTAGTATGAGACTTCCCTTCTGGCCCGTAAAGCGCACCTCAAGAGATCAGGGAACACAGGTCTTATGTGGAAAGGGAGGAGCTTTAAGAAGCTGTAGATCGGCGGGTGTGGTGGAGCTCATCTGTAATCTCAGCACTCCGGTGACTGAGGAAGGAGGATCGTGGAGTTTGAGGCCAGCCTGGGCTACATAGGGAGTTCAAGGCCAGGCTGAACTGCATAGCGAGACCTTGTCTCCAAAAAAAAAAAAAAAAAAAAAAAAAAAGAAGAGAAAAGAAAAGAAAAAAGACAAGACGTAAAACTCGCCTGCAATTCTCCCAGCGCTTACCTAAGTACTCACTTCCCAATCCTCCAGCCGGCAAGTTTCTGGGACTACAGTGACGTCTATATCATGCGCCGGAAGTGCGTTTGTGCAGTGCAACGCGTAAGCGGCGACTCTAGCGGGTAAAGCTAGTGGGGGACGCTGGTGAGGCCAGCGACAAGGGTACCTTTCGACGTGAGGACCTCCAGAGCTTTAAAAAGCAGCAGTTGCCATGACAGCCCAGGGGGGCCTGGTAGCCAACCGAGGGCGACGGTTTAAGTGGGCCATTGAGCTGAGCGGTCCTGGAGGAGGCAGCAGGTAAGGGGCCTAGGCGAAGCCCGACATCAGAGCCTTCACCCCAGAACAGCCCCAGAGTAATGGGACCTGAGCTACAGGCACAAGTCTCAGAAGAGGGTGGGTGGCGCACAGACGTCACCAGTGGGGGTAGGTTTCTTTTCTCTAAGGATGCTTGTTTCGGTCCTCCCAATAGGGAAGGGATTGGCGGAGCCACGAGATAGCTTGATCTAATCTGGGGAGGTGCATCTTGAAGATCTTTACTTCCATGATTAATAGGGAAATGTGGGATATAAAGTTTGAAAAGTTGCATCTTGTTTTGGTTCTTTATTCAGGGGCCGAAGTGACAGAGGCAGTGGCCAGGGAGATTCACTGTATCCAGTCGGTTACTTGGACAAACAAGTGCCTGATACAAGCGTGCAAGAGACAGACCGAATCCTGGTGGAGAAGGTACAGAGTTATAGGTGTTACCGTAGTCCTTGGGCCAGGCCTGATGCATCCTCCTCTCCCAGGGAGAGAGATACAGTAGCCTTTAAACAGAATTTCTAAGAGCTTAAACTGCTTGAGATTAGTGTGACAGTAGTTTACATATCAGCTCAAGAATGCTTAATAACTGAGAAAATAAGTCATTTGTAACATAAAGTATAAGGAAGTAGGTGAAGATGATCTCTTGGTGGCAACACTTTCTAGTTGAAATCATCCTTTTCTATTCAAGTTCCTTCACACTACATAGTCAATCTGTCAGGTTATTCTGATTTTACCTTCAAAATAGATCCCAGGTGTGGGGCCCAGACCTGTAATCCCATGACTCTGGGGGCTGAGGGGGTAGGATCACCTGGAGTTTGTGGCCAGCTTGAACTACAGAGTAAGACACTGTCTCAAAAAACAAAATACCTCCCAAATCATATTACTACTTCCTACTGCCTTCACCTGTCATCCTGTTCCTAGCTACCACCCCCCCCATTTTTGCAATAAATTTTTATAAATCATGTACATACATACATATTATCAGTTCTTTTGAGTATAGTTTGTATATAATAATCTGCACTGCTGGGCGTGGTGGTGCATGCCTGTAATCCCAGCACTTGGGAGGCTGAGGGAGGAGGATAGCTGTGAGTTTGTGGCCAATCTGGGCTACATAGTGAGTCAAGACCAGCCTGAACTACAAAGGGAGACCCTGCCTAAAAAAAAAAAAAGAAAAAAAAAGAATAATCTGCATTATGTTAAGCATGATGTTTTAACCTAAGCACTGTTGACATTTGGGGTTAAATATTTATTTGTTATAGGGAACTGTATTGTGCAGGATGTCTAGTATCCCTGGCCTTTACTCATTTGATGCCAATAGTATCCTTTCCTAGTTGCAACAACTAAAAATACTTCCAGTCTTACTATATGTTTCCCAGGAGGCAAATCGCTGTCAGCTGGGAACCTCTAGTCAGCGATGGCAAACCTTTTAGGGACCGAGTGGCCCAAACTACAACCCCAAACCCATTTATTTACTACTTATTTATTTCAAAGTGCCAACACTGCAATTTTGTGTTTGTTTGTTTGTTGAGACAAGGGTCTCACTGTGTAGTCCAGGCTGGCCTTGAACTCTTAGTGATCATCCTGCCTCAGCCTCCTGAGTGCTTGGATTAGACCTGAACATCCGATGCTCGACTGCTGGGGCATTGCTGGGGTGACTTGGCTTGTGTGCCAACAGAGAGGGCTCTGTGTGCCTGCTGTGGCACACATGCCATAGGTTTGCCACCACTGCTGTAAAGGGTACTATCTGATGAGCTTTAACAGTGATATACTCCCATGAAACCCCATACTGGGGATTAAACCTAGGGTCTTTGTCTTGAGCTATATCATCAGCCTTTTTTGTTTGAGACAGGGTCTCTCTGTGTAGTTCAGGCTGGCCTCAAACTTGCAGCAATCCTCCTGCCTTAGCCTCCCAAGTGCAGGGATTACAGGTGTGCACCACCATACCCAGCCCTTTTTTGAAACAGGGTCTCGCTAAGTAAGTTGTCTCAGTTTCCTAGAATACTGAGATTACAGGTATGCACCACTGTGCTGGGCTAGAATGATCCTTTTAAAATATAAATGATTGTCATTCAGAACTCTCATATAGCTCCCCATTTATCATAAAAGTCAGTCTAAATAATTTTTTGGTTTTTTTTTTGGTACCGGGGATCAAACTCAGGACCTTGGGCTTGTGAGGCAGGCGCCAGAACCACTGAGCTAAATCCCCAGCCCCAGTAATGTTCTATGTAACTCTCATTTATAGCATTTTGGACATCATCTACATTTCTCCGTTTGTTGACTCTTCTAGTCATAATACTTTCCTTGTTGCTCCTTAAAAGATCCCAGGTGAGCTCCTGTCGTATCTCAGGCTTTGCATTTGTTCTTCCCTGTTCCTGGAATGCTTTTCCTCCATTCAAATACCTGCATGACTTGATTGTGCATCTCCATTAGATCTCAAATGTCTTAGTGAAGCCCACTTTATGGCATTCTCTGTTTACCTATTTTATATTTCTCTGTATCATTCATGCATGATAGGAATGTTATATATTCTGTGTATTGTTTATCTGCTTTCTCTCTCTCGTAATGATTTTAGCATTCTTTTTTTTTGATACCAGGAATCAGACTCAGGACCTCATTCTTGCCAGGCAGGTGCTGTGCCACTGAGCTACACCCCTGGCCCAGCTTTCTCTCTCTCATAAACCCCGTGAGATCAGGATTTTTGATGTATCCCTTGGATGGTGCTTGGGACTTTTCTTTCCTTTTCACAGTTCTGTCAGCCTTAATATTGCAGTGCTGTATGATCTTTGTTTCATGGGGTGCATGTGATTTTCACATGAAAATGACAAGGGCTACCATCAATCCTTTCCTTACCCTTTCCTGTTTGGGACCGGGATTGAACCCAGGGCCTTTGCTCTGAGCTACATCCCCAGTCCCTGTTTTTATTTTGAGACAAGATCTTGCTAAGTTGCCCGTGCTGGCCTTAAGCTGGGCTCAGCCTTCCAGAGTGTTGAGACTGCAGGCATGCACCACCACATCCAGCTTCAAATTTTCTCTTGATAAGTATTATCCTATAATTTTTCACCTTGGCACATCAAAGTATGTGAATACATACAAGCAGATTACTAGTGTAATGACCTAATTTTAAACGTAGATTATCATAAAACACATTTTTTAGAAGTCTGTTGTAAGAATAATTCTTTGGCCATTTATCTCAATGTAAGTAAACCAAACCAAGTGATTGATGTGTGTGTGTGTGTATGTATGTATATATATATATATATATATATAATTTTTATATAGCTATACTTTAATATTTTGTTGGAATTTTTAGATTTAGATTCATGAGACTGACCTATAAATTTTTTCATAATATCCTTAGGTTTTGGTATTTATGAGGCCCTATATAATGAATTGCCATTTTCAGATATGGTTTGTATACTTTGAATTCTGTGAGATTTGGCATTTTCTGTATGGCTCAGCAAGTGGTCAGTTTTTCTGTTTGATATGTTTGAAAAGGAAGTATATTCTGCAGTTACTGGCTACAATGTTACATGATTCAAATCTTCTATGTCTTAATTTGTGTTCTATTAGTTACTGATTGAGGTGTGCTAATCTCCCAGGATGTGGATTTATCTTTTTTTTTTCAGTTGCAGAAGGGACAGTTATAGCTGCAGAAGCATGACAAAAATAAGGAAATTGGGGCCGGGGATTTAGCTCAGTGGTTTCGCCATCTGCTGTGCAAGAGCAAGTACCCAAGTTCGATCCCCAGTACCAAAAGAAAGGGAATCTTTTAGCCAAAATTATAAGAAAAAAATGACATGGAACATCTTTAGAGAAAGTCTACCTTATCTTTGTAAAAGAACTTCCTGTGGTGACATGGTGACTAAAGAGGTGGTGAAATTGAGGAATTAGCTCAGTCAGAAGCAAGGTATTGGGAACTCTGTTCATTAGACTTTAGCATCAGTGATAAATATGGGACTGAGGGTACAGATTAGAGTTTAAAGTTGTGTGTTTGTTTTAGCGCTGCTGGGATATCGCCTTGGGTCCCCTCAAACAGATTCCCATGAACCTCTTCATCATGTACATGGCAGGCAATACTATCTCCATTTTCCCAACTATGATGGTGTGTATGATGGCCTGGCGACCCATTCAGGCACTTATGGCCATTTCAGCCAGTAAGTATTCTTGAAATAGTAACTTTTCCCTAAGTTTAAACAACTAAAGACAAATTCTTAAGCATAGTTCTTGGTTAGAGGGTGTATAGGGTGGTGGTAGTTCTACTGGTGGCATCGAGGGGAAAACTGCTCATGATGGTTTTCTTTTTTCCTTTAGTGGCCTTATTTACTTACTTAGGGTCTGTATTAATATATGGTTACTTTGATTCATATTGGGGGAAAAAGTTATTTGGTTTTTGACAGCTTCTGTTACTCCAACAGCTTTCAAGATGCTAGAAAGTTCAAGCCAGAAGTTTCTTCAGGGTTTGGTCTATCTCATTGGGAACCTGATGGGTTTGGCACTGGCTGTTTACAAGTGCCAGTCCATGGGGCTCTTACCTACACATGCATCAGACTGGCTAGCCTTCATTGAGCCCCCGGAGGTAAGGCAAAAGAAAAGCTGAATTTTGGGCAGTGTAATGTGTAGTGAATAGCGGATTCATTTGATGGTAGGAGATTTCAGTTTTTAGAGTAATAAATATTAACTAATAAAAGCTATTAGGAGTCTGGAAGGATTGGGGGGGGGCACAGATAAGGCAAAGTAGAACTTTGTAATCCAGAGTATTAAGTAACAGATTCAGGACATTACTTCAGCCCTCACTCGCTACTTACCTGTTCACTGTTCCTACTTTCAGAGGATGGAGTTCAGCGGTGGAGGACTGCTCCTGTGAACTGGAGGAAGAAGCACCCAAGGCCTAGGTATTTAGGCTTCATTTACTTCCTCCTCAAGCCCAGTGGCTCCTAAGTAATACTCTTAAAATAAGCATTCACACTGAAAAGAACCAAGACACTTTTCTCCATGGTGAGGAGACAGATCCGAGGAGGACAATGTGCATTTTATTACAAACATGAAGAAATTATATTGCAACCCTTGACTGAAAATAATGTAGAAAACTTTATTTGTTTCCAGTACAGAGCAAAACAACAAATAAAACCAGAACTGTATGTAAACAAAACAATGATTGCTGCTAAATCAAGAAGCATAGCAGCATCTCCTTTCAATAAATTAAATGGTTGAGAACAATGCTTTAAAAAGTTTCACAAGTTTCCTTTAAATCTATTTTCCTTAATATTTTACTGTTGTTTAACACAAACCAGCACATAAAAATTCTGTTGGAGACACTTGAAGATGTGAAAAACTAATGTTGGATTCAAATTATACATGATGAGAAAAAAATAAACCAGAAAAAAGAGCACATAAATATGCTTACAGTGTAACTGTTATTTAATACGCACAATAAGGAATTTTTAACATGTATAGGAGGAATGAGGACTGGTGGAATCCTTGGGGCCACAAGAATCAGAGGCAACAGAAGATAAAGAGCAGTAATGTTTTCCCTGCTAACAGGAACCTGGCACCTCTTGAGCAGACGCTGCAGTTCAGACTTCAGCTTTTAAGATAGCTCTGGAAGCCAGAGGGCCAGCAGTAGGAGAATGTATATTATTACCTGCCCTGGTAGAGTCATAGGTAAGACTTAAAAGCTAGGTCTTTTTCAAAAGGGAAGAGAAAGAAGGTTTTTATCTTCCCTCTTAAAACAAAAAGCCCCTTCCCCTAAGGTGCATTCTCTCAAGTTTTCAGTATTGCTTTATTTGCAGTGATTAAGAGACGAGACACTTGGCAGACAAACAACATAAGCAGCAATAGACATGAAATGCTGTAGACAAAGATGAGTATAAATCTGGCCTAATAACCATTCTTCCATGTAACAGTGATTGTGTGTTTTTAGGACTGGAATTGTGGCTATATTAATGGTCACCAATTCCCTTATCTCTTCAAAAGATTTCTTACAGAGCTCCACCCACAAATAATACTTCTAAAATTAACCTTTTTTTTTCTGCCCATATTTATCCTATGTGGAAAAAGTATGTAGCACTTTGGCCGGGGCATGTGTAAATGCTGAGCAATTTCTGGGCAGGCTGACTTGGAGAGTATGGATCTTTAAGATGCTGGGTCACTTACGCTCAACTATAGAATGGAGTGTTACAGTGGGAGTTGTAAACAAACTTTCTACCCTCTGCAGGAAGGAGCAGGAAAAAACTTTAAGATCCTGTCTGTGTTGGTACTCTTGAGTGGGCCTGGAGGTTGAAAAAAGAGCAAAGGAAGAAATCAAAATGACTCATTAAAAAAAAAAGAATAGAACAAAATGACTCATTTCCTTAAGCTACCCTGAAGGGTTTTCTTTGTCCCTGTGGGTCAAATAATTACCTGTGACACAAGAGTCAGCTTGTTGCATATCCTATTGGGTAATCAAAGAGTGGCACTGTCATTAATGAAGTGAAACTTAAAAGCACCCATGAATAAAGGCAAGAAAGTGGTTTCTTAAATCCTATCTTGGAAAAAATAAGATTTCACATACTTGAAATTATTGCTCAGCCCCACAGTTTTCCTATGCTGGTAAGCCATGTGTTTTGTGATAAGTAAATTAGTAAGTAAAAAGCAGTATTTGCTCAAGTATTTCCTTGGCACATTTAGAACTTTCTGAAAATAAACCATAAACAGCAAAAGCCTATTGGCTTGGACAGTCTCAGTTCTGAGCCAAGTTTCTGCAGACAGATTAAATAATAAAAAAGAAAAGGGGACATGCTCTTTCTTTGGACAAGCCTTAACTGTGGCTTTGGCGATGAGGCCATAGGTTTCTTAGAGAAAACTTTCTTGAGCTGGGCCAATGCCAGGCTGTGTGCTACTTTTAAGTAGATAAGGAGAGTAGCAGCTCAGTAACTTTGGCACTGTGGAAAGAGTAGGGGTCTAGAACTTCCAATTTAAAGCTCTATTCCCCTTTTAAAAGATGGTTCAGGGGCCGGGGATTTAGCTTAGTGGTTCTGCTGCTTGCCTCACAAGTGCAAGGTCCCAAGTTCGATCTCCGGTACCAAAAAAAAAAAGATGGTTCAAAGCCTTCAGAGGATGATTTTAGCCAGTCATCCTACTGTTTGTTCCATATGACTTTTTTGACTTGTGCCTAACTTGGCATAAAAAGAAGGAAAGTAGAATCCACTGGTTAATGTATATCCTGACCTATATTTCTTATGTAACAGCTTGTATATCTTTCCCTTGTCACAAAGATACCACAGACTGTATTTCAGTAAATCTTAACAGCTACTCCTTGAAATTCCCTTAGTCCAGCAGTATGAAAAGAACCTAAAATAATTTTTACTAAGAAATAATTTCCATGGCAAAAGTGCCTACATTGTTACAACCACAGAATGGATTTTGAGTTGATGGAAACAAACAGCTGAAATACACACTAACACAATATAGATACTTAAACCTGGTATTTTGTGGAATCTTTTTTTTTTTTTGGTTCCAGGGATTGAACTCAGAACCTTGTGCTTGCAAGGCAGGCATGGTGTCACTGAGTTAAATCCTTGGCCCTAGAATCTTGTTTTTGAGGAACAAAATAGAAGCTGCAGCCACATTTCAGGTTTGGAATATTAGTACCCTAACTTAAAATTTAAAAGTCCTAGAGAGCAGTAGATACACTAAAGAAAATCAGCTAAAAAAGGTTTCCATCTCAGCTTGCTATGAGTTGTCTTCATGAGGATAAGAGGTCTCCATGTTACTTGGCCATGAATTCTTCAGTGAGGTGAGGCTGTCTATCTAGCTGTTTCCTCTGTTATCACTGAGCCGTGATTTCTGAGACTGATCTTTAATGCTGGATATGTACTTGTTTTTTGTCTTTAGGTGAATTTCTAGCATCCCTTTTACCAATTCACTACCTTCAGAGGTGTTGAAGGGTTCCCGTTTGTTGACTTAGCTTATTAACTCTAACTTGTTGTCTACTGGTAAAGAAATGGCTTTTAAGATTTGATCATTCTTTTGATGTTGAGGGAATATTTGCTGCTTCTGTCAGATCATATGGAAGCCAAGGACAGATCTATTTGCTCTCTTGCACAAGGACTTGAGGCCAGCTCATCAAGAGTTTAGTTGTGATGGGCATAAAACATGGGCCTCTGAGTGGGAACAGGAGAAAAGAGCTGTCACTTCAATGGAGGATGGAAGCCATTTAGGAAAGCTGAGACCAAGCAGAGTCATTTAGAAGTAGATTATGAATAAATGGTGATCACTTCACTGCCACCACCCCGGACAAGGAGAACTCGTTCAAGTCCCTCAGTGAGCACTTCTAGGAACTCCATATCTTCAGAATTTGTCAAGGAAACAGGCAGAAGGAGACTATACTTTACAAACTGGCATCATGATAATCTGAGTATCTGATCACAGAACTGCAAAATCAGCATGCTTTTCATTAATTACATATATACTCAGAAAAGTCTGAATTTTAGATTAACTCAGTGAAGTAATCAGGGATCTAGTCTCTTTGCATATACACTACAAACTCTATAGTTTGTTAGATATTTTCTAAATGTTGCTTAGAAATGGGGAAGTAATATTCTAAATAATGAAATAAGATTAAAAAAATGCAAAAAAGTCACAATAGGGCACTTAGTAAGAACCCTACAAACATCTAAGTAATGTCTAAGTGAAGTTGCTTGTCAGATTTCCTGCCTATTGTTTTCATTTTTTTTTTTTTTTGTACTGGGGATTGAACTTGGGTCCTTGCGCTTGCGCAGCAGGCAGCAAAGCCACTGAGCTAAATCCCTGGCTTGTTTTCATTTTTTAAAACTTTTCCTTAGTGGACTGGTAGGACTAGACCAGTCCATGTTGCTACATTGCTGAAGGGTCCCCATAAAAATAATCCTAGGAAAGATTAGAAGTCCCATTTGACCCAGCTATTCCCCTGCTGACTATCTTCCCAAAAGAATTAAAAGAATCATGCCATAGCAATATATGCGCACCCATGTTTATAGCGGCACAGTTTGTAATAGCTAAATCTTAGGAACAGCCCAAATGCACATCAACTGGTGACTGGATAAAGAAAATGTGTGTTTTTCTTAATAAAATGGAATACTAAGCCATAAAGAATGAGAAACTAGAGACATTTATAGCTAAATGGATGCACATGGAGGCCATACTCTTAAGTGAAATAAACAGCACACGTGTAAATACCATATTGTTTCTGTGGTGTGAGAAACTGAAAGTGTAAATGAGGATCAAACTGTATAACAGATAATTGTGAAATACAAAGAAAAGGCTTGAAGGGGAAGTGGGAGGGGTAGGGGAAAAGAAAGAAGGGAAAGGAATAAATATGAGAAAAGGAAAACAGAAACAAAGTCTTTGTAGCTAGGGAGGGTGGAGGGGTTGAAGGGAGGGCAGGGGAATGGGGAAAAAAAATAAGAACTAAGATATATCAAGGTACAAATTCCCAATGATGAATATCATCATATTGTATACCTAAAATGTACCAATAAACTTAGTGCGGAAAAAAAAAATCCTAGGATGAGAGTATGAACAATCCCTAAGTCTTTTCCTTCACTGCTTCTCTCCTAACTTCATTGAGACGAGGCTTTGCAGAGTGTGTAGAGTCTGAAAAGGATAAAGGATGTAGGTATTCTGCCTCTAGGACTGTCACTGAAAAGTTGAAATCTGGTTGCAAATGTACCACCCAAAAAGACTTATTAAGGTTCTGAGAGAATATAATATACCTCCAACTTCCCAAAAGGAGATTAATCAGTCTTACAACCCTGTAAAACTCTGCCTGGGCCGAGGATTTAGCTCAGTGGTTTTGCTGCCTGCTGCACAAGCCTAAGGACCCGAGTTCGATCCCCGGTACCAAAAAAAAAAATCTGCCTAAGATTTAAAAATCTTCCTCAAAAAAGGTAACTAGGGCACAAACGATGACTTAAACTTACCTAGTTGTCTCATCTAAGAAACAGGCTAAGATTTCCCCCACTAGCAGCTCCACTCTTGGAAAGGATACAGTTTTCATCACCCTCAGGGTTTCGGGGTGGTCCTGGCATATTCAACAAAACAAGCTTTGCTTCATGGGACTTGTTTACTATAACCTCATTGAGCTTCACTGCTGTATGCATCCGTCTCACATTAGACTGGTCCCTGGGTGGGGAAGACAGAGATAATCAAGGAAAAATGAAAACTCGTCATAGTGAATCTTAAAAACTTGATAATCAGAGCTTTTTTTCCTTTCACTATGATATGACAGGTAAAATAATTTCCTTATATATCTTCAATTTTTTCATTCTGCATTTACTTATTTTATAAGCAAACAGTATGGACATGAAGTACATGGAGAGAAAGATCGCTTGTGTACAGTGTTTAATTGAGAGCTATGGCTGGAGTTAAGCGAAATGGACAGATTCCATTCTGTGTGTTCAGGTAAAGTCACATGTATGCCACTGAGTAGGATGCTACATTTGTGGTAATCTTGATTGTGGGAAGACTTACGGACGCATGTTAAGGAGGTCCTGGAATCCTTCCATTGACTTGGCTTTTTGCCCTCGCGATGCCATGTACTTGTCCTTTGTCCACGTCATGTGTACCTTCTCTTGATAGGTTTCTGTCTCTTCATCCTCATCAGAACCAATGCTGGTCAGTCGCAGCATTGAGTTCCGGTCTTTCACCAACTGTGCCTGAGGAAGGTCCAACATAGTTTTTCTACCTAATTTTCTCATGCATCAACTATTTTGAAACAATAATGAAGTTATATTGGGATAACTGATAAAAGGAGAAGGAAAGAATTTATCACTCAGTGAAAACAATACAATATCATCCCTTTCACTGACAAGACTTCACAGAGCCAGGGTGAGACAGATCAGTGCAGCAAAGTCTCACCTCTCTGTCTCGTTCTGTTTTGGAGAGCCGCATGTGCCGGAGCATCTGAGACCTCTGCTCCATCATCAGAGTGCGCTCGTAAGTATAAGCTGATATGTCACTGTCATGCTGTCATCACACAAAGTGGGCAAAAAAGCACAAAAAGCATATTTTTATTTCCACTCACTGACTTAAATCAGAAAAAGTATAATAATATAAACCTAGCTTTCACCCCTATTTTGTTCCATCTTTGAGTTACATATAAACACATTATTTTGGGGTTATAGATTGAATCCAGAGGCTTTAATTCTTCTCTTTTTTGGGGGTACCTGGTATCAAACTCAGGACCTTGTGCTTGCAAGGCAGGCGCGGTGCCACTGAGCTAAATCCCGGCCCTCCCTAAGTCTTTTTATAATCTAACCATTATATGTGTTTGCTTGAAACACAAAGTTTAGTTTTTTCACATATAATGTATCATGTGTGATTTTAAGCATGAATTAAAAATAAAATATATATAAAACATAAGAATGTGGCTTAAATATAAGGGCTATGGAATAAACAAGAAAGCAAAACCAAAAAGCATTATCAAACACATATTATTTATGCATTCTACTTATATAGGTCAACAATTAAAGGTTTTATTGGAATTCCAGGGTTAACCCACATTTAACAGAGAACCAATTTCCAAAGTAGAAAAGGTTCTAGAAGACTGGGTGGGGGCTGGGAGAATGATGATCTCTTCTATCTCAAACTCCATTTTCTCACCATTTCCACCACTTCTACCTCTGCCTCAATGCGCAAGTGATACAGGAAGGTGGCCAGGTCCTTCTTCATCTGTATACTGTTGTCTTCTAGTTGGGCTACTGTGAAGATTCGTATGCTGCATTTTCGCCACACCTGACAAGTACCACATGTGTATGGAAAATTAGATCCAATAGTACAAAAAAAAAAGTTACTTCCTAAAACACAGGCATTTTGGCCTAGAATAACCTTCCTGTGGTATGTGGGTATTTTTTCCTAGCTTCCTGCTTAGTTCATTATCAAGGCAAAAGATTTATTATTATGGCAAAAGATTTACTAAGCAACACATTAAATACAGTTTTAAGGAGTTCTTAATTTTTTAACAAGAAAAAAAACTAGCAAGAAAGGAGAGATGGCTTGTGTGATATTACAAAATATATAGCTGGTCAGCATCCCCACTGCCTGGCATTTAACTCCTAAAATCCTTGGTATCTTCAAGTGATATGTTTTCTATGCTATTGAGTTGACCCACAAGCTAGCAGTTCCTACATACGCAGCTTCAGGATGGGGGCTGGTAAATGGAAAGACTCATCCCAACTCCTAACCTCTGGGGAGGGTAGAGGGGCTGAGGAGTGAGTAGATTACCAATGGCAACATAATTAATCATGTCTGTGGAATACAGTTTCCATAAAAACCCTAAAGAACAGGGTTCTGGAGCTTCTGGACAGCTGAACATGTGACATCTCCTGGAGTGACCAGAAAGAGCATGGCAACTCTGTGCCTCTTCCCAATGCATTGGCCTATGAATCTCCTCATCTATATCCTTTGTAATATTCTTTATAATGAATCAGGAAATGTAAGAAAATGTTTCTCAGTTCCGTAAACTACTCTGGAAAATTAATCCAACCTAAGGAAGGAGTCATGGGAATCTTGGTTTACAGCAGGTCTGCAGAGGCTTGCAATTAGCATCAGAAGAGGGAAAGTGGTCTTTTGGGACTCAGCCCTCAACCTGGCTACCTCCATGTAAACATTGTCAGAATTGAATTAGAGAGAGGATACACAGCTGTTACCCACTGCAAAGATAACAGCTTGCTTGATGTGTTTGGGAAATAAACCCTGAACCCACACATCTATGTGAGCCATTCAGAAGGTGCTTTATTCAGATAGTACAGTAATGGCACCACACATGAGGTACTTAAGTAGTCTTACCAAAGAATGAGCATACACGTGCATAATCTACACATACCCACATGCACACATCCCTCAGTCTTCCTTTGACAGACTCTTGCTTTATTTTTTAAAGGTGTCTTCCACTGTGTTTCCCAAGGGCTTACATGGTACTTTATTAATTCGCTGAATTTCACTTGGAGTTAGATTGGTATTAAATACAAAGAAATCTTTTTCTTATAAAGTTGAAACTAAGATTTTGGGAAAGCCAAGAATAATCCCAACTTCTCAGATTCTAAGACCCTACACTATACAGTCAAAGAAGAACTATGCACCAGGTGTGGCGGCACGTGCCTATAATCCTAGCACTTGGAAGGCTGAGGTAGGAGGATTGCTCTGGGAGGGGGAGGGGGAGGGGGAGGAGGAAAGAAGAAGAAGAAGAACAACAACAACTACCACTATGTGTCTAGTGAACTAGGACAGAAGGAAGAAAAACTTCTTAAAAAGTTGTCTAGGGCTGGGGATTTAGCTCAGTGGTGCCGCTGCCTGCCTAGAAAGCACAAGGTCCTGAGTGTAATCCCCAGTACCAAAAAAAAAGTTGTCTAGAGTCTGCACCATAGTGTATCTGGCAGGTACTATCCAGTTGGCTATGGAGGGGCCCCCAGCGGGCCTACCTTTCCCAGAGATACTCGGGACCTGCTATATGGCTACTTTGTTGCAGTAGCTGGATAGTCTGGGCAAATAGACACTAAGGAATTACAGAACTATCTGAAGACAATCAGGCACTGCTGGAGAATAAAAACACTTTAATCTGGAGACCTGTCAGTTTATGGTTTCAATTCGGGATTAAGATATGTCTGGCACAATGAGTTTCAATGAGTTTAAAGGACTCTGGGGTATGCTGAAAGGCTAGAGACAACATTTCATCAGTTTTGATAGTGATAGGAGCAGAACAATGGATCCTCAAGAATTTTAGGAGACCCTGACAGCAATGGGCTTTAGCTTGGATCCTCAAACTGAATTCAATTGCAAAATGGGACAGTATCAGTGGGATGATCACCTTTGACAGCTGTTATCACCTCCTGTGTCAAACTGAAGGCTCTTATAGATAGCTTTTGAAGATGGGATTCTTGTCAGCGAGGTGTTATGATGATTTCATTAGGTCACATATTCATGCTTTTAATAGTATACAACAGGAGGACTGAAATGGGTGCCCCAAAATGTTGATCTGGCCATCACTGAGAGTCAGGGTCATGTGCTTGGCTCTTTCCTTCCTACCAGTTTCCCAAATATTCCCTAACAAGCAGGTATTACATATAATAGAATTTAAAAATCTTTTTTTGGGGGGGGGGTACCGGGGATCTAACTCGGGACCCTGCGCTTGTGAGGCAGATGCTGGAACCAGTGAGCTAAATTCCCAGCCCTAAAAAACAATTTTTAAACCATGGGCTTTCAGTAAGATCTACATCTAATGCTTTCTGCACCTCTTACTTTGTGGCTTGGTCACTTTAGATAACTTCAAGAGTCTGTATTCCTGTCTTTGAAAAGGAAATAATACTTATTTCTTGGGTAGTTTGAGATATGAAAAAGTGTGTTGTATAACAAACAACAACGTTTCTTAAGTTTAAACTGGCCTAGTTTGGCTTTGTTTTGCAAGAAAGCTTAACAAATAAAACACAATATTAGTATATTTTCTCCTTGTAAGCAGTATATCTGTCTTACTTCATGGTACAATGTGAGCATTACCATTCAAGTGAGCAATTTATCAACCAATGATAATAAAACAGTCTTCTATGTTTCTTCATCCCTATTTCACTAATATATTTTTAAATATTTCTTATATATATTTCATAAATACTTTTTTTTTTGGTACTGGGGATTGAACTCGAGTCCTTGTGCTTTCGAGGCAGGCAGTGGAACCACTAAGCCAAATCCCCGGCCTGTTTCATAAATACTTATTTAATCCTAACTTATGTGTTCATGTCAAGTAGTTATTCCCAGGTTGTATGTCAGAGTATGAAGCATTTTGCTGTATCTTACATAGTCTAGTTTTCATCGTAGACCTATTGTCTGTGTGGCCACATAGCTTTCCCTGCGCACGGGCTGCCCAGAAAAGGGTCAAAAGGTGCCTAGGGGACCAAGAGGCAGGAATTCTCCCTCAGTGTCATGATACCTGCTGCTTCTTTTAAACTCACCAGGGTCTCTGAGGAAATCATAGTTTAAGGAAATGGTAATTTCCTGGTGAGTACAAGCAGTAAGGAAGGTTACTGCTGACCCAGAGTTATGGGACCATCCTCTCCTATTGATAAGTCCCAAATATGCTATATTGATGTTGGTTCTGAATTTGCTTTTGGGTAGATGCCAGAATATTATAAACCATGCTTCTGGTATCATTCAATTAACTCAGTTTCTTTTTTTTTTTTTTTGGTACCGAGGATTGAACTTGGGACCTTGAGCTTGTGAGGCAGGCGGTGGAAATACTGAGCTAAATCCACGGCCCAATTAACTCAGTTTTAATTATCAATACAGTACTTTGAAACAAGTCTCTTTATCTCCTTTATTGGTCCCACCGTTTCTTCCCAGAAGCATGGAGCTTAGTCTTCATTACGTCCTTGCAGTTAGAAAGCTTCCTTCCCCTTGGCAAATGTGACACAGCCCCCTCCTTTCTTTAATTACAGCCGAACTCTTCATTACAAGTCTCTCATGTTTCCTTACTGCTATTTTATGTTGTTGTTCCATTCATTGTATACTTGCAGCACAACCTCCTCCACTTCTTTAAAACTGTTTCTTTGTCCATGTATTTTTTTATTAAAGCACATAGTTGGAGCATGGTAAAGCTGTGCACTCAAACTTATGTACTTCAGCTATTTGGAGGATTAAGTCCCTCAAATCACTCCAACTCAGGGTTGGATTTTATTTTAGAGATGTGTGCTTTGGTCTTGTACTTTAAGAGATTCATGATTTCTAAGCACATTTCACACACTTCCATGAGAATGTGCTGCCAGAGGCCTGGTGCTTCCTGGAGACAACTGGTATAGACTTGCACCACAGCAGTCATTAAATTAAACCTCTCACTCCTGTGGAGCCAAGGTGGATACAGACTTCAGCATGTTGTTCCAGGTGATATGTTAGACGGTCTGTGAGACTCTGGCCTAGACTTTGTTTTGGGTACATTACTATTTCAGTGTTCATCTTATGCTATAAATATAAAAACCAAAGCCACTGTATATGCAAACACTATTTTTTAACCTTATAGTAAATGTAAAAGTCCTTCAAGAAATACAAATAAAAAGTTGTCTAAAATACCTTGTGCTGTTTCAGTAGGAATGGTAATAGCATGAGCATCCCCCCATCATGCACAATCCACCACACATCAATGTTGCCCTCAGAAAATTGCTCCACATTGCTGGGAAAGAAGGAGACATTTTTAGCCACCAACAGAGCAAGATGAGCAGCAGTTGTCACTCGAACTGTGCCTAGGGAGAAAAAAAGATTCAGGATAAGCAGACAATAATCTTTAGGCTTGCTTTACTTCCCACCAAGTTAGGGAAGCAAGGAAAATACTCTTTTGTATTTCTTTGAAGAAGGTGTCCTTAGGTATCAGTAGGGTTACCTAAGTCACAAAAATCATGGCGAACAATCTGAACAGCTAAGAGAAGTGGGCTGAGTACCATGACTGTTACTATACACACTCTGACTGCTACATTTCTAAGGGGGTTATGTAAACTTGGTGGACTTGGATGCTGAAGGACAATCCTAACTCCTGCAATAATATCAATATGAAAAATCATAAATGAAAATATAGAAAATTAGCAGATAATTCCCAGGATAAGACTTGACAGAGATAAACAGTTTGTGAACATAAATGTAAAAGGCTGGAGAGGCTGGGTAAAGTCAGGTTATTACTACTAGTAGTTTTTTGGCATCCTTAATAAGATCATGTTTCAGTGATGGCATAATCCCTACTTTAGGAGGCTGGGGGTGAGGTTAGGGTGACAGACTATTTGGGCTCTCGGGTTATTTGGGAAAATGTTTTTACCAATAAAAGTTTTCCAAGCACGGGCATCTTCACTCTGACGCCAGCCATTAGGCCAGCCCATCACCACCGTGTTGTGCTTCATGCCCCCAAGGCCACACGACTGGATGAGGTGGGAAATGCCCTCTCGCAATTTGGCAGCGACCACCAGCTGGCTGAATCCTTTTACCTTCTCTGCTTCCATTAGGTGCTTAATGGTCTGAAAGAGACAGAGTACCTCAACAATGAACTGCTTTGCCCTGGACCTTTTAATTCATTATTCCTCCTCCATACTGGGTTCCCTATCTCTTTTTAAAACTGGGCATAAGACTCAATCTCCTATAGATAAAGTCTAAAATATTAAAATGGTTCCAATGAAACGTCATCTTCATTTGTCTTTTTCATTTTTCTTTCTTTTTTGAGACACAGCCTCACTATATAGCCCAGGCTGGCCTCAAACTTGTAATCTTCCTGCCTCAGCCTCCTGAGTGCTGGGATTACAGCCATGTGCTACCATCCTGGGCTTGTCTTTTTCACTTTCTAAGTGCTTACTGCGTACTTTTACACCTATAGCTGATTGTCTACGTGCAGTTTCTCTGACTGTCTATTCTATTTTTCCTCCTTTGTTAATATACTTATAAACTAAGAACAGGAATCTCCACAAAGAGAATATCTGGCATACTTTCTTAACTGACCAGTAGGAGTTTCCTGGTGTGAACACAGTCTCTTTTCTTCCTCAACCCTGGTCCCAAGCTCACTTATCTTCCAAAAAATTCGATCTGATGATTCAGTTCCACTGTTAGCATTTGAGAAGTTTCCTTTTTGCTACTTCTATTCTTGAATCCTTTTTGAAATTTTAAATGTGACAATTTATGATGCTTATATTTGATTACTATTATTTAGTCAGATAATATCTCATTTACTCAACCCTTTTGATAAAAAGGGGAAGGGAATAACGATGTGGAAAATGCACCTGATTTTTCCAAAGGCACAGATTAAGTCAGTGGTATAGTAGGGTAAGAACCTTGATTTGCAATCCTGTGTTCTTTTTATTAACTTTTACCATAATTCCAGACTCATTTTTCTCAGCATTCTAGTTTTTAGGGTTTCAAAGGATTCCAAAATGAAATGTAGTAAAAATTTTGAAATACAATTAAAAATTTCTCCAAATAACAGGATTAGTTCTATCAATTCTGGTAATTATCAGAGTGATATGACTTCCTTCAAGCAGAACTTTAATGTTCAGTACAGCTAACTGGAAACAGCAAAAGAATCTCGCTTATGATATCATGTAAGCTAGTAAAGAAGAAGAAAAGCTGTTCTTGGCATCCTCCCTAGAGTTCAATGGATAGATTAACTTATAAAACATCTGTCAGTGCTCAAATCAATGTTTAGAATTTATCTGGAAATAATAGTTACCCTTGATAATCTTACAGTTTAGTAATGCTTTAGGGAAGGAAGAATAAATAAATATTTTCTGGCTCATTTTATTATTTGGGAGAACATAATTATTCAGAAGTCAGCACTAAATGGGAAACCACCTACCTCACACAGGAAAGGGATTAACCTAGAAGTCTAAAGTCTTACTACTTAATGTCACAAAGCTGTAAGCTTTTCCATTAAGTCAACTAAATCTTCACTCTTACCTGCTCAGCAGCTAAAGCTTCACCATAATTTTCCAGGAAGTTCCCCACTATGACAGAGCCCACAATAGTGAGACCCTTTCCTGCTTTCAGCTGTGAGGCAAATGTAAGGAGGCGAGGATGCTTGACATGTAAGTCTTCGTCTAGTTTCAGCAAAACAAGCAGCTGAGGCCTATGAAAAGGGAAGAAAACATTTTGGGTTGCAGAAACAGAATGACGATTCCATCCTTTGATTCAGGAGAACTGGGTAAAACACATAATTTGACAGAAGAAAGATCAGAGGAATGACTACATGAGGGTACTGGGTTATTCTGAATGCTCAAATTGATCAGTCTTCAAGGAAAAATAACAAATGATAGAAATCTAAATCACAAATCTCATGAAGAAAAGGCAGTAAGGATTTAGGAGAGTTCAAAATAGGTACTTTCCATCCATTCATTTCCTTATCTGGTAATCAACAAAGTACAGGTTTCCACGTATTAGCACAGCGCTACTGAGTTGATTTTTTTTTTTCCCAGTACCAGCGATTGAATTCAGGACCTTGGAGTTGCCAGGCAGATGCAGGGCCACTTAGCTACATCCCTGGCCCCTATTGAGTGATTTCTTTACCTCCAGTTTTTAGTGTGTGGAGGTCCTTCCTCCAGCCGAAGCAAAGCAAACCTGGCTGCACTGAGTGACAGCCCACGGATACCATCACCCCATTCTTTCTCAGCTCTGGGAGAAAAAAGAGAAAATAGTAGAGAAAGATTTAAAATACAGGAAGCATAATTTCAAAAAAAGGTTCACTTTAGAAAGTAAAAGTAACATATACACAAGGTAGACATTTAAACTCGTATCAATGATGTATATGTTACTAACATTGTGAGCCAGGTGAACACCACCATGTACCAACAGACTGCACTGCACAAACACTTCAGAATAAAACTTGGAAGAGTCAGTCTTGTACATCTATGCAAAAGCAACAATGTAAAATAGCAATTTGTATTAGGAAATTATTAAAGACCCCAATTTAAGTTATTTTAAAAATAATTTAAAAGTAAATGAAAAAATAACTTAAAAGTAAAATTCAATGTGATCTTCTGAATCAGAATGCTATTTATTCCACATTTCTGGAAGTTATGAGGTTGTAGTTACAAAATTATTCAGGGATAATTTCATTTTTATGTCACAGACAATACCTTGATTGAAGAGATTACTGAAAATATTTGTATTGTGTTCTTTGTTTAGTACTAATCATTATTATTTAGATACGTCCTTTTAGTTATTTTCATGATCCATGCATACTTTCTTAACAGGTTCCCCTTGTGATGAAAAAGTTGTAAGATGATTAAGAGAATTAGGGATGCAGAATATAGTTGTGGAAAATGAAGTTATCTAGGTCCTTAATGTAATTTTCATTAAACTGAATACAAAAAAATAGGTAGTCTTGAGAATTTCAGCAGTGATCAAGTTAAAATCCACTCACCCCTGGTACTCAATGTACTTGTAGATCATACCAGCTATTACCATTGCTACGATGGCATAATACCAGGAAGAAATGAACATCAGAGCCAGACAGATACTCATTCCCATGAAAGACAGGGCCCTAGAAAATTAAAAACAAAAATATAAAGAAAGTATCTAAGTGGAAAAATAAAAACCCCAAAAACAAAAACAATAAACCACGTGCTAAAGGTGCCAGGATTATATCATGAGCCACCATGCCCAGCTCTGTATTTGTTTTTTGGGTTTTTTTGGTACTGGGGATCGACCTTACACTTGTGAGGCAGGCACCACTGAGCTAAGTCCCCGGACCTCTGTATTTGTTTTTAGCAGTGCTAAGGAATGAACCCAGGGCCTTGCAACATGCTAGGCAAGTGCCCAACCACTGAGCTACATCCTCAGCCTATGTGGCAATGCTGATTATCTATAGAAGTTTCTAAATGCTTATTCTCAATTTCTTAGTTGTCTTGTCACAAATTGGCAAGTCAGTAGATATATACTGGGCCCCTTTGTAATAGAAGATGCTTTCCACCAGTGTAAATGAATAAGTACTCTACACAAAAGTCATCTGTAGTTATGAGGATGATTAGTTAATAATCATTTGGAAAAGCAGGGATTGAATGTACAGTTGGAAATGTTAATAACTCTATAATCTTTAATTTTTTTCATATAAATATTCCCCAAACTTTTATGAATATTTGATTAGCATAACCACAGAACTCACTGAGAAAAATCTGCCACTGGTTTTCCTCTCTCCCTCCCTCTCTCTCTCTTTCTTTCATTTTGAGTCAGGGTCTCACTGTGTAGTTCAGGCTGGCCTCAAACTCACAGCAATTCTCCTGCCTCAGGCTCCTGAGGATTACAGGTGTGGGCCACCACGCCCGGCTGCCGTTAATTTTCTCATAGACTACTGTATAAGAGAAACTTTGTAGGGTGATGAAGTGTTTTTTTAAATCAAATAAATTGGGTAAGCAACTGTATTTACTGAAATTTTTCTGTGTACAGAGTGAACTTCTGAGCTCTGTGATGAATTTTAAAGCATGAATAGGAGAGTTGTTAACCTGAAGATTAAAATCTACTAAAATAAGAGAATAGAAGCAAAATAGCAACACAAAAAATATTCTTAGTGAATTTTTAAGTAAAGTTAAAGGTAGAAAGAAGATTAGAGGTGTTAAAATCAGTTGAAGGTCTAAATTTCTGTCAGGTAAAGGTCTTATCACTGCCCACCATTGGTTAAGTGAAGGCAGTAAAGGATCAAGGGAAGTTGGCAAAGTGGAAGAGACCAACGGGTATGTGCATACAGAACCTAACTAAAGAACTCTAAGCTTATAAGAGAAAAGACATGGGAAAGAGATGGGATAGTAGCCAAAATTTTGGATGACTCCATCAGGACTAGGAAGGCTCAACTAAAACAGCAACAGCAACAGCAACAGCAACAGCAACAGCAACAGCAACAGAAACAGCAACAGCAACAGCAACAGCAACAGCAACAGCAGCAACAGCAGCAACAGCAGCAACAGCAGCAACAGCAGCAGCAGCAGCAGCAGCAGCAACGTTCCATTAAGAGCCTTACTACACACTAGGCACTCTACTAAGCACTTCAGATTTATGAGTCCTCTTTTACAAATGAGTAAAATGAAATTTTACATGGCTATATGCTTGAAGATTACAAGACAGTAATTAGCTGAGATATTAACTTGGGTTGCCTGTTGCCATAGCCCACATTTTTTTTTTTTTGGTACCGGGGATCGAACTTGGGACCTTGCGCTTGTGAGGCAGGCAGCAGAACCACTGAGCTAAATCCCTGGCCCCCATAGCCCACATTTTTAACTAATAAATGAAATTCTCTTAGGGCTGAGAATGAAAAATGATGAGAATTATCAGAGTATAAATAGAAAGGGATGAAGTCTATTGCTTAGCTAAGAGGGAAACAGGAAAATAGCAAAGGGAACACCGTTTAACCTGAAGAATGAAGGAGGCTAAGCTGGGCATGAGAGAGGCTGAGGCAGGAGGACTGCAAGTTGGAGGCCTACTTGGACAATTTAGTGTGATTTTTTGTCTCAGAATAAAAAATTTTTAAAAGAGTAGGAGATGTAGTACAGTGAATCATCTCTGGGTTCAATCCCCACTACTACCAAAAAGAAGAAAAAAATGAAGGAGGCTGGAAATATTTCATAGTTTTGATCTTTATTTTTAGTGGGTATTATAGGTTATTATCAGGTGGAATAGGACGGCTAAGATTCAGATGAGAACTTAATATTGAAATAGTATGGAGGGGCCGGGGATTTAGCTCAGTGGTTCTGGTGCCTGCCTCACAAGCGCAAGGTCCCGAGTTTGATCCCCAGTACCAAAAAAAAAAAAGAAATAGTATGGAATGGTTGGCCTAGAAAAATAATTGTATCAAAAACCCTGAATGCGGGGGTAGGAAAGGAGGGAGGGTAGGAAGATGGAGGAAGAAGGGAAGAGGATGGGGGAGGGGGAAGAAATGGGGGATGGGGGAGGAGGAAGAGTGGAAAAGACTCACCAGTGGTAGTAGCGGAATCGGGGTCTCCAGTTGGGTGTTCGAAGTAATGTCTGCAAGGCACATGCCAAGTTCACAAAGAGGTAACACATGAGGAAAAACCTGAAGAACAAAAAGAGAAAAAGAGTAAGGGCTGGGGATGTAGTTCAGTGGTACACCGCTTGCCTAGCAAGTGTGAGGCCCTGGGTTGCATCCTCAGCACTGCAAAAAAACAAAACAAGGGCCAGGGATTTAGCTCAGTGGTTCCAGCGCCTGCCTCACAAGTGCAAGGTCCTGAGTTCCATCGCTGGTACCAAAATACAAAACAAAACAAAACAAACAAAACACCCTTAAGAACAATGACTATTATAAAATGATTCCTTGAGGTTTATTTTAAATCACTGGAGACCTCTGATGTAATGAAGCCCATTTTTAGACCAGTAACCCTTGATTAAATAAGCAGAGAAATTTAAACTTCTTTCCACAAACCCACTCATGCTATGTTTTCTCTCAGCTGATGACATTATTACTGTACCCAGTTGTTTATAGGATAAACCAGGTTTCTTCTTCCTTACTCATCTTTGTTCTAAATTCACTTATCAAGTCCAATGAGATTCAACTATTTAAAAATCTGGGTTGGCAGTGCAGCAAGAGCACTTGCTTAGCATGTGTGAGTTCTGGATTTAATGCCCAGCACCATCATCACCAAAAAAACCCCCCAAAAACAACCAAGTATGGTGGCACATGCCTGTAATCCCAGCATTCTTGGAAGGAGGACTGCAAATTGAAGCCCAGCCTACACAATTTAGCGAGACTTGTCTCAAAAAAAAAAAAAACAAGCTGCAGGCGTGGTGTTACACACTTGTAATCCCAGCACTTGGGAGGTTGAGGCAGGAGGGCTGCCATGAGTTTGAGGCCAGCCCGGGTACATAGTGAGTTCAAGTCCAGCCTAAACTGTATAGTGAGACTCTGCCTCAAAAAAACAAAAACCAAACTAAACAAAAATAAAAAGGGGAAAGGGACTGAGTATAGAGCTTAGAATGAAGGCCCTGGGTTCAAACCCCAGTACTGGGGGGAAAATAAATCTCTACACTTCTTTTCTTCCTTTTCATCTCTGCTACTGTCACCTTCATTGGGGCTCTCATTTTTTCTTTCCAATTAGCATTCCCAGCTTAATTTTATCCTTAGAATCCATCTTTTATACCAACTTGATCATTCGAAAACATGATCATGATAATTTTGTATTCAAAGGATTATTCACTGTTTCCAAAATCAGGTTCTTTGTGACCTGGCTCTACTTCTCTGGCCTGCTAACTAACCCAGCATGCACTGGCTCCACCACAGCCAAGCCAAACCTTCCATTCTCTGGATGTGCTGTACTGTTTCATTTCTCAACTCCTTTACACACACACCCTGCCTAGAATATTCTTCACCCCTCATTTGCTTAGCAAACAACTAGTCATGCCTCAAGACACAAGCGTCACCTACTACACTATTTCTAGAGTCCTAGGCTACTTAGATGCTCACTTTAAGTTCTATGGCACCAAGATTTCATCTCTATGATCAGTTTTTTGGGGCTGGGGATTTAGCTCAGTGGCCTTGCAAGTACAATGTCCTTAGTTCGATCCCCGGTATCAAAAAATATATATTTTATATATATATATTTTTCATCAGTTTTTTTTGTTTTCTTTTGTTTTTTTTTTTGTACCAGGGATCGAACTCGGGACCTTGTGCTTGCTAGGCAGGCGGTGGAACCACTGAACTAAATCCCCGGCCCTATTTCATCAGTTTTTTAAGGCTGTACCTTCTCCATCTTTGTATTCCTAGTATATTATATAGTTTCAGGTATATAATAAGTCATCAGTAAGTCACAGGTGAATAAATAAAAGCTAACAACCAGTTGATAATGAATCAGAAAAGGTGAGGGCTGAGGTGCAGTTCAGCAGTAAAGAGCTTGTCCAGCACATGCAAGGCCCATGGGTAAGTCAGCCCTACATGAAAGTTCTCTGGAATGTTCAGTACCATTTAAGTGAGGTTAAACCTGCATTTGACTCACTCTGTCGTTTTCACTACTGTTATATGACTGATGGAAATCATGAGCGATGTATCATTTAAATAAGAATAACTGAAGATAATAACTGGCTCTTACATGGATAGAATTGGGGCCACAAGATCCAAGGATGCAATTAGGATTCCCAGCTCTGCAATGGCAGCAGTGAGAAGTAAAGCCCAGGTAGGTTCCCCATTGGCTTTGCTGTGACCGAAAACCTGTAGATAGGAGGGAAAATACCAGGCATAGACCTGAGTAAATGTGCTCTTAATTCTTTTAACCTGAAGTTTCACACATCTGAAAGATAATAATGCTACAACAGTGTTATCTTTTAAACACCTTTACCACAATTATATATAAACTCATGTTGGTGAAATTAGAAAGTTCATTATTAAAAACCTACCTGTCTGCATATTTGTGATTTATGACCACACTATTTCTCCTAAAACCTGAGAAATTAGAGGAGGTCATAAGAAAGGGTCACTCACCCTCAGGAATGGTATGATGTTATCCTTGGCTATAGCCTGTAACAGCCTCGGTGCACCTGTGAGGCTCTGAAGTCCAGCCCCACATGTTGAAAAGAAGGAGCCAATGACAATCACCCATGGGGACGGCCAAGATAAGGTGCCCACCACCAAGTTACCTTTCACAGCATCCCCAAACCTAGGAAAGAAATCAGCAGCAAGGAAATGTAATCTGTAAATACCTTTATGCTGAAATAACAGAAAGACATTTCACCCACTTTTGTCTATTTATAATTTTCAGAGAATTAAACTTGAGGTACACATGAATACTAAGACAGGCAAAGGTAGATAGCTCTGATTAAAAGGCAACAACAGCAGTCTGGGTATGTAGCTCAGTGGTAGAGCACCTGCCCAGCACTGTGGGAGGCTGAGGCACTAAGATCACAAATTCAAGCCCAGCCTGGGTAACTTTATGACTTAGTAAGACCCCATCTCAAAAAAAAAAAAAAAAGTAAAAAAGGGTTAGGACTATAGCTCAGTGCAAATGCCATGGGTTAATCTCTACCACCACCGAAACACAAAAACAAAGCATTGATGACCCCTATTAAAAAAAAAAAAACCCTTAGAACCATAAAATAAGCTAAGCTTTAGTTATAGCTCCCCCCGTCAGATTAAAATAATCTGGTTTTAGGGAAAAATTGGAAAAGCACAGAAAAATAGAAAAAGGGAACCCCCAAATCTTAACATTGTGCATACTTTTTAAAAAAATTCTTTTATTGGTACACTGTAGGTATACAACACAATTACATTTCTCATTGGGAACTGTACCTTTACATAATGAATCTTGGTTCTTATTTTTTCCCCATTTCCAGCCCTCCCCTCACCTCCTCCACCCTTCCCTATTTACAAAGACTTTATTTCCATTTCTTCCATTTCTCATCATTTTTCCTTTCCCTTCTTTCCTTTCCCCTGCCCCTCCCACTACCCGTACCCCTTTGGACCTTTTCTTCCTATTTTGTGCATACTTTATATATGTTTAGTCTATTTACTGTTTTTAAAAACATGGATGAGTTGACTGCACTTATAATTCTGTATTCTTTTTAAGCATATGCATTTTTCTGTTATGAAAAAATATGCATAAAAATTTAGTGCTTTGAATAATACTGTATCATAATTTACATTACTCATTCTTCACTGTAATTAATGTCTGTGAGTGTATGTGTGTTACTAGGGATTGAACCCAGGGCAATGAGTTACATTCCCAGCCAGCCCTGTTTAAAATTTTGAGATAGTATCTTGCTAAGTCACGAAGATGCTAAGGCTGGGCTTGAACTTTCTATCCTCCTTCCTAGGCTGCCCAGGAGCTGGGATTATAGCTGTGTGCCATCATGCCTGACCTGTATTTAACATCTTTATGTATACAGACACATCAGATTTTTTTTCCCTTACTGCAGATTCCTAAGAGGGAATAAGCATTTTTTAAAAAGATCAATATAGTAAAACATTTTCAAATCACTACCAAACAGAAAGGTTTATACTATATTCTGCTCTCATTGGAAGTATGTGAGCATTCAAGTCTTAAGGCACATACATACTCCACACAAACTGTGAATATTAAAAATTTAAGTCATTGCTAATCTAAGGGGTGAATTAAATTAGCTCTGTGAATCGTTTCATTGTTTAAATACTTTTTAAAGTATGCAAAAAGTAATGTGCAAAAAACACATGTACATATCAATAAATTTCCACAAAGCAAATACCTATGTAACTACCATGCAGATCAACTAACAGAACACTACCAGCATCCAAAATTCTCATATCTATTCCTAGTCATTAGCCCTTTTTTCCTCTCCACTATCCACTATATTGCTTAATAATAAGTTGTTTTAACTGTTTTAAAACTTCATATAAATGAAACACAATATATACATTTTATGTTTGGTTTCTCTTATCATTATAAAATTCTTTACCACTATGGTTCATTTATGTTTATTGCTGTATAGTTTTTCATTGGATGAATACATAATTTACTCATTCTACTATTAACGGATTTTTAGATTATTTCCAGATCTTGGCTATTTAGAAGTACTACTATGGTGAGAATTCTTGTACATGATCTTAATGCATACATACAAATATTTCTGTTGGATATACCTAGAAATAGAATTGGTGGGTTATAGGTATGTACATATTCAACCTTAAGAGATAATGACCAATAGTGTTTCAAAGTGGTATTCAAATTTACACTCTCAGTAATTTTTATATTAAGATATAATTTAACAAATCTCCATAAATCTTCCATTACAATATACCACATATATAGATAGTGCTCCTTATACATACATATGTACACTATGCAATTTTATTTTTCTCAATAGTCTTTATATAGCATCTATTAGGTTTCCTGTTCTCAAACAGCTCAATCTAGTAGGGAAAATGATATGAAAAAGGACAACTGTAATACAGCATGGTCAGCACAGCACACAGTCCAGTGCTTTATAGTGGGTATACAAGGGAGAAGTGGTTATCTCTCTCTAGGTGAGTACAGGAAAACTTTATAGAAAAGAAGACACTTAGCCTAGTCTTAGAAGATGAATATGAGCCAGCTAGGTGGAAGTCACCCACTCTAAGCCCAGGAAACAGGATACACAAATGTGCAGATTGACAGTAATCTGAAACAAGACATATTTAACTCTAAGTTATGGCTCGAGCATAGGGAGTTTATGAAGGAATGGTGGGAGGTAAGAGTAAAATGAGAGAGAGAGAGAGACAGATCAAAGTGATGAGTTTTAAGGGCAATTTAGCAAGCTCTGAAGCAGAGAAATTTGTGTAAACAAATTTTGTGTTTTAGAAAAGTCATTCTGGGGCCAGGAATGCAGCTCAGTGGTGCTGTATCTGCCTGGCAAGCACAAGGTTCTGAGTTTAATTCCTGGTACTGGGGAAAAAAAGTCAAGTCATTGTGGTAGCAGTGTGGAAGGATTAAAAGATAGTAGAACTGAAAGGAACATTACTGAGGTAATGTGTGCAATGAATCTTGAAAGCCAGGTCAAAGTCATGGGGATGCAGGAAAGGGTAAATAATGAAATGTATTAAGGTTGGAAGGTGGAATTTACAAGGCTTAGAAACCACTTGGATGGAGGAATTAATGGAAAAGTCCATGATGACACCTTTTAGAAAGAGGGCTGAATGGTGAGGCTGTATTAACCAAGATGGTTAAAATGTGAGAAGTAATAGGTTTCAAGAAAAGACTGTCTAGAAATATCTTTGAAAAATATATAGGAGAAAGGCTGGGGATTTAGCTCAGTGGTTCTGCCACCTGCCTTGCAAACGCAAGGCCCAAAGTTTGATCCCTGGTACCAAAAAAAAAAAAAAAAGGACTTTCAAAATACATAGGAGAAAAGAAAAACTACACACTTAGCAGCCTTCACGAAGGAAATAAAAAACATTTCAGGCTTTGATTCGAAATGCCAAAGAGAATTAGATAGATATTTATCGCTCATAAAGGAAATGCTAGAAACACTTGAAAGTTTTGTTTTTGGTGTTTTTAATTGCCTTCCTTCACTTTTAGTCTAGCTCTCTAACAGTTCTGGTGTACACGGAAGTACAAAGTATTAAGACAAATTTGCTGCTTTTTAAAAGAGCTACATTCATTATGGCTCACATGTTTATAGCAACATACTGGTCCTTATTATTCACTATCCTTAAAAGGAAACTATATACAAATATATTTATCCCTTCTTTCTTTTCCTTTTCTTTCTCTATCCTCTTCTTTTCTTTCTTTTGTGTTGGGTATCAATCCTATGGCCTTGCACATGCTAGGCAACTACCCTGTCACTGAGCCATACCCCTATCCCAGTACATATATTTTCTAGTTGGTAGTCAATCATTGATACCTTAGATTGGGTTTTTGAGATTATAATTGTCTTGGAGCTATGTTGGATGACCATATGTCATGAAAATGACACAAAGAATTTGAATTTAACTACTCACTTGTCTCTGAGAACAACCCCTTCAATACATGCACCAAAAAGGACAACATTGCTTAAATCTACCATACTGAGGTCAAGGAAACTGCTGTTTACCCTCTAACATCAGACAGAAAGTAGAGAATCAGAATAATTTTATCACTAAAGTAAGTTGCTAAATTCACTAATCAAAATAAAAATTTTGCTTGAATTTTGTATATGAAATGGGCAGAGTATCTGGCAAGAAGATGGTAGAGAGAAAAACCTTTACTAAAACACTGGTCACCCTAGTTCTACTGGATGTTCCTAAAACTACGACTCAGACTGGATCCATGAAAAGGATACAGACAAAGGATGTGGTCAGGATGGCAAGGATCGTTCCAATGGGAATAGACTTCTGAGCATCTTTCAGATCTCCAGATCTATTTGATCCAGCCATGATACCTTCAGAGAGGGGGAAAAACAAAGTTAACTTCTTGAGTTCCCAGACACTTTGATGTTCACACTGATACTGAAGAGTAAAGGCAAATCTAGGAATCCTGAGAGTATAATTCTGCCTCCTGAAAAAAATAACTCCCTGGGTCTGGAATCTTCTAAAATAGACATTAGCACTGTCACTTACCTGTGACAGAGGGAAAGAATATCCCCACCAGAAGAGTGAAGGAGGTGGTAATGTCAACAAGAACATATTCGTGATTTAAGTTTCCCAAAATATCAGATGATTTGGCTGAGGGCTTTTCAATGATCTCTCCCTTAGGGAGATAATTACTCCAAAGGTTCTCTGCAGAGGGATAAAGAACATAATAATCAAAAGAAGTATAGTAAAAATATAACTAGCTGGCCAGGTGTAGTGATATACACCTGTAATTGCAGCACTGGGGAGGCAGAGGCAAGAGAATTGCTGTGAGTTTGAGGCCAGGCTGGGCTGTACAGTGAGTTCAAGGCAGCCTAAACTATATAGCAAGACCCTGTCTCGAAAAAAAACATACTAATAAATTTCATAAACAACATTTAAAATCAGACTCCTTTACATAGTTTTTATTTTTCTTTTTGTTTGTGTGTGTGTGTGTATGTATGTATGTATGTATGTATGTATGTATGTATGTATGTATGTATATATGTAGGTATTGTGGGGTTTGGGATCATACCCAGAGCCTTGCATATGCTGCACAAGCACTCTACCACTCTCCCACAATCCTAGACTCCTTAACAGTTTTTAAAGGGTTGTTTGCTTCTTCAACACCATCACATATTATACACAGATGTATTGTGCAATGAAACACACATAAAAATGTCTTTCCTCATTTCAAAGATTATTTGACAAGATGTTTTAGTATGAGAAACACAATTAAATTTTCTAATACAAATTAGTAAAAGTTAAGCGCAATGTCTCTTAAAGCCTATTATTTTTTACTAGTCATCTATACAATTTTTAATACCTTAGAGTGAACTTGCTTAATGTGCAAAGAAATTCGTGGACCAAACGTTTAAGATAGATGTCACTTAAGGAAAGAATTTCAATTTAGTTGAATTAGGAAAACGTGTGAATGTGTTGTCTTTTCAGGTATAACACTGTCAGTTTTTCAAGAACACACAAATTTGGATATGGTAGTACATTCCTGTAGTCCCAGATACTCAGAAGGATGAGGCAGGAAGATCATTTGAGGCCAGCCTGGGCAACAAAGGAAGACCCTATCTCAAAATAGAAAGGTAAGGAAAGAGAAGAGGATCAGACTACAGAAACTATTTTATCTTATTCTAGCTCTGCTCTATTCTCTTGTTTCGTTTTTGGTTTTTTGAGACAGAGTTTCACTGTGTAGTTCAGGCTGGCCTTGAACTCGCAGTAATCCTCCTGCTTCAACCTTGAAAGTGCTGGGATTACAGGTGTGCACCACCACACCTGGCTAGCTCTGCTCTACTCTCAAAGGAGGTAAAATTTTAACAGATGATACTCTACAAGGCACCCTGAATAATTCTGCTGCGTACTAAGCTTAAGGAAGGCAGTGCAAAGAGTCTTAAGATGGGGACAACTATCTCCTTACAGAGGAATAAAGAACATGTCTACTAACTCCTTAACTTACCTGTAATGATACCGCTAGCCAAGCCAGGAATGCCCTGGATTGAAGTGACATTATTGTGAACAAAGTACTCATCACAGGTGGCATTGAAAAACTGACTGGAGTTACAGAAGAAGCCCCATAACTTTGATGGTACTGTCACGTTGTTAATTTCCTTGGTCTTAGAGCAAATATCTATGTGTCTTGATGAAAGAGTGCGGTTACCCAGCATGCAGACCCTAATTAAAAACAAACAGGGAGAAAGTTCAAGCAAGAAAAAGAAAATATATTTTAAAGAAAGGAAACAGGTTAGTAAAGGAGCAAAACAATCTCATCTCTAAGAGCTTCTACTGTCATAGGTAGAAAAGGAACTAATATTTATTGACTAGCACTGTGAATGGTGACTTAACATTCTGCCAATGTATCCTTACAGCAATCTCACAATGAATTAGTATTTCTTATTTTATGGATGGAGGAACTACATTTTAGGGAAATATAATATTCTGCCCAAGATCATCCTGGTGGTACATGGCACTGATATAATTCAAACACAAGAACTGTCAGAAGACACTATGCTGACTCATCTTTCAAAAAATGTTAGGCTACTGATTAACTGTCAGGTCAAAATAATCCTGGAGTCCTTTGATTCTTAATTTTTCTAAAAAGTTCTTATTTTTTGGCCTAGAAAAGCTTGAAATTCATAACACCCTCCTTGGAAATATTATGCTAAGCCTTCTGACTACTGTGGTGAGGAAGACAGGTTGGCTAGAATTTTTTTAAAAAAACATATCCCACTAAGACTAAACTATTTTTGAATTTAAGCCTAGACCTAGTGGGAATGAAGGTATTAAAGGGTGATATAATTATTCTTTTATTTTACTGGGTTTTTTTCTGATTTCATTTTTGTTCTCCCCAAAGACCTAAATACCAACAAAAGAATAATACACCCATAGCTAAAACACTTCTTAGGTAGAACAAAGCAACTTTTTAAATCTTCAGAGTGATTACACACATACAAAATGAATCATGTATCTATTACTCAGAGTCAATGACTTTCAACAATTCCCAGTTATGTTTCGTGTATTTTTCTAAGCTTTTGTTTTGTTTTGTTGGAATACTTTAAAGAAAATACAATGAATTATGGCTTTTTCCCCAATTGAAAAAGAGGCGAAGCCCCAAAGAAGAACCCAAGGCATGGAATTTTCCAAAATGAAATATAGCCAAAATGTTGCCTTTAGATCTTTCATAACTCTGAAAAGGATCTTCAGCTATTTTACAGATAAGCAAATTAAATATTTATGATAGAATCTATTACTGATACCATATAGCATAACATTAAAAATACTGGACAGGGCCAGGGATTTAGCTCAGTGGCACTGCACCTGCCTCACAAGCACAAGGTCCTGAGTTCAATCCCCAGTAACAACAACAACAACAAAATACTGAACAGGAGTCAGAAAAACAGGTTCACGCTCTTACTCTGCCATTAGTTAACTTTAGGTTAAGTCATTAAAAGTCACTAAGGCTGTTTCTTTCATGAGGCAAAAAAAATCTTTTTCTGTAATCTTGTTAAATCAACACAGGACTGATAGGTTTGAGCTCCAGATGATCCAGATGACTTTCAAAGACAATTTGTGTAACAAGATTACAAACAGCAGTTGGTGTCAGCTAGTCCTTATGCCACTAGTTGAAAAAAAAAAGGTGAGCCTGTGATTAACGAATTTGCATAAACGCATTACTTCAAAAAATACACTTTAAGGTACCTGTACTACCTGACGGGATATAATATCATACCAATAATATGACATTAATTTCCCTTTACTTTATTTTATTTTATTTTTTTGGTACCAGGGATAGAACTTGGGACCTTGCACTTGCGAGGCAGGTGCCGGAACCACTGAGCTAAATCTTCGGCCCAATTTCCCTTTATTTTATAACTAGAAATTCTTAGCACTTAAAAGTTCGAAGACAGAATAACAAGTTTAACTAAGTAAGACTTTAGGATTCATTAATAAAATGAATTCTACGTTTAAATACGTTATAAAGCTTTCTGATAATGACACTGTTTGCAAAGTACTTCACTAAGAGTTCAAATATCGTTATTGGGGGAAAAACCTAATATCTGTATCTGAATGATGGTTATACCTGCTAGTTCTATGCCTGGGACATAGAGAAGAGGATCAACAGGACAGTTTTCTAGGCTTCCTACCAGCTGACTGGGCCATAAGAAATCTCAGACTCGTTAAATTCTGATTGAAATTACCATAGTATAGATAGTGTCAGTGACTATCTAATAACTAGGCCAAGAGACATTCACGTACGGGAAGTCGGGGGGGGCAAAAGAAGACTTGATAGCTCCAGCATAGATTGCCAAGATAGATACAATGACACAGGCCAGGAAAAGTGAGGCAAACTTGTTCACATAGCGCACGCCGATGAATACCACCAAGACCATGAGGACCAAGAAGGCTGTGCCATAGACACGCATGTTATTAAGCATGGCTGCTGATTCCTTGAGGGCATCATCGCTGCGAAAGATGGCAGCCCGGGGCACAATGTATACCTGTTAGGCCAAAAAAAAGAAAGAAAATGAGGTCATTTCAAAATAATCGAGTAAGGGCTGTAACAATTTGTATCTGCTTTCATGAAAGAAAGCAAAGCTAAAACAGAAAATGACTGAAGAATTAGCCTAATTCCTATTTAGATCTAGAGTACCTATAGAAATAGGATACTATGGATTTTTTTTCCTATTTGCTACTCTGAATAACTACATTTCCAAATGAGAAAAAAGGAATAAATTAATACTTTATTCAAAGGGATATATAAGATAATAATGATTAGCTTAGCCCTTCTTCTCCTAAAACCACTTTTAATAGTAAGGAATACATCCCATTGAATAGAGAAATGAAAATCCATTTTATTTCATTGTGATAAAGACATCAAAAAAGGTAAGGTTTATTAACCCTTCTCCCCCAGGCTCAAGTCTTGCCTCCCAAGACCATAACTTAGTTGAAGCAGTGAAGTGGTAGCAATCAGGTGAAGGGGAAGGGACAGGGAAAAGATATCTCAACCTTTCTGTTTCACACTTAAATCAAGAGCCCAGGAACAGGTTAGCAATCACCACACTGATTCCTACAGGTGACCTCTCAGAAGCTTTGATATCAAAGAATAAACTTAAATCCAACTCTCTTCTACATTGTGGAGTAAAATTAAATCATTACTCACCAGAAAAATTTCAATGGCACCAAGGATATACATGGCTGCTGCAAATGTGGTACCAAGATAAAAGCAGAGGCCAACAGCCCCACCAAACTCTGGACCCAGCGCCCGGGAAATCATAAAGTATGAGCCTCCAGCTACAAGACAAAATAGAAGGTGAGCAGGATAGAGTATTAGTAACAGGAATGTAAGCAAGTCATAAATATGAATAATAAACATACGCATAAAGGCTAAACGTGTCAGGCTTTTAAAAATCTCGAATGTGTTAATAAGTAAATGAACATATGCATAAAGGCTAAATGCGTCAGGCTTTTAAAAATTCTGAATGTGTTAATGATTACTAGTGGGAAGTAAAAGATGAAACTTTTATTGTAGGACAACCAATGCTCTATAAAAAGCAGTGCATTTTATCAGGAACAGGAATATTTAATATGGGCATGAGATAGCCTAATAAAATATATCCCAACTAAAAGAAGCTAAAATGTGACTGAAAATAAAGCTCTGCAGTCTAGGAAATAATAGATTTTTAAAGAAGATATTCTAAAGGCAAATAATATTCTAAAGGCCTATAGATTGTTACTCTGTTATAGTACAAAGCAATACAGTAAGCCGGGTGTGGTGATGCACACGTATAATCCAGGACTTGGGAGGCTCAGGTGGGAGGATCACTGCTAGCTGAGGCCAGCCTGAACTACATAGTGAGACTTTGTCTCAAAACAAAACAAAGCAAAGCAAAGCAAAACAAAAGAAAACAAAATGAAATAAAACTAAGCAAAGTAAAGCAAAGCAAAACAAAACAAAAAAATCAACACCAGCAGAGCAGATATTAATCTGTTCTTTGGAAGTCTACCTCTGGCTTTATAAACATACAATAATCACTAACAATCCCTGAAACCCAAGTTTGGACTACTCACCTGGCACCACTCCATTAGTGGCAATGGCACTCATGGAGATAGCAGTCAACATTGTCTGCCACAAAAGAGAAAGGACACTACTGTTATCAGGTAAAGTTGACATTTCTATACTACTTGCCAATCTGTAGACCTCAGAGCACTTTTTAAGGATTTAACTCTACCTACTTTTATGGGAGTTGCTGTTGTACCCAGTGGTATGGAAATGAGCTAATGTGTCCAACTCTGCATTAGTCACACTACTATTATCTGTAGGATATAGACATTCCTTGTTTATCAACCAAATTCCTTTCCACCAACCAGGTCATTAAATGAATTTATTGCTAAATGAGGAATTGTATATAGTATGTACATTACAATATTCAGAACAATAAAATGGTCAAAGGAAACTCCAACTTGATGACTTTGCTTTTATTTGCATAATTTACATCAGTACTGTAATGTATAAGAACATAAAACTATAGTACTGTACAGTACAATCAGCAAAAAATTACAGCACTATTTAAAAAAGACATTAAAAAAATAATAATAAAAAAATAAAAATAAAAAAAACATTGAGGCCAGGGATTTAGCTCAGTGGTTTCGCCGCGTGCTGCGCAAGCACAAGGACCCGAGTTCAATCCCTGTTACCAAAAAAAAAAGACATTGAGGGTCTATAAACAAGATGAACAGAACTGTACAAAAAAAAAGACAGGTCATAAGTCTGAGCACCAGGTTAAGTCTGAACAGCACGCCTCGGTTGTAAACCCAAACAGTTGTTAAACAGGTAGGTCCTCACACAGGAGTGTCTGTACTATGAAAATGGCCTTGGTATCATATAACCAGTAGATTAGGTGCTAAGAGCCTAATCTCACCCAAGAACATTTGTTCTCACCCTGAATCTCCTAAACAGGAAATAAAGCCTGACACACTCAAAAGGAGTAAGGAGGGAGAGAACTTGGAAAATAGATTAGAACCTGATTAACGACTAGCTAAGGTACCAAGAACAACGTTCAGCAAGAAAGGTAAGGACTGGGAACTTCAGTACAGAAGAACTGTAATTTACCGAGTAGCACAGTACAGAATGGACTGCCAATAAGGAGTAGCTGGAGGCAGAGGGACTACAGGCTCCTGTCTATAACAGTTTAATGGGAGGTAAGAATTACAATGGTGGTAGTGAGACTAAAAAGGAAGGGTTGAATGTGAGATTTCAGACCGAGAATGGATTGGTCTTGGTTGCTGATTAGATGTAAGATGTGACCAAAGAGAAATATGGCCATGGGCCGGGGATTTGGCTCAGTGGTTCTGCCACTTGCCTTGCAAGCGCAAGGACCTGAGTTCAATCCTCGATACTAAAAACAAACAAACAACAACAATAAAAAAAACTCCACGGAGAAATATGGCCTTGAAGCTTCAAGACTGAGAAACTGGCAACAAAACAAAACAGGAGTACTGTTAACTTACAATATGGACTATGTCTACTTAACCTGCTTTGTGTAATATTCAGCTAAGCATAACTCACAGGGAGAGTAAAATGGTGACAGAAATAAAAGCATAATAAGAATGACAGATGTGCCTGGGACACATAAAAATGAGGATTTTAAACTAAAGGAAGATAAGAATGCTCCCAGTGTAGGGAAGATAAGACCTGGAAAGAAAAACTGAATTTCTTTTTTTTTTTGGTACCGGGGATCGAACTTGGGTCCTTGAGCTTGTGCAGCATGCAGCCGAAACCACTGAGCTAAATCTCTAGCCCTAGAAAAACTGAATTTCTAAGGAAGAAGGACTTCAAAACCAAACCAAATCAAACTCAAATATGCCTCATTCCTCAAATAAATATCAGTTTCTATTTCTCAATACACACTGGAATAACAAACCACATTTTCTAATACATTTTCCGTAACAATATTGGTGCTATCAAGCTCCAAGGTTTTAGATTCTTTATCTTCTACTTCCAACTGAAGTCTTGGTTTGTAATTTCTGGCACATTGTACAATCTTAGATAGCAAGCAGTGGATAACAGGCACTAAATAAATGAAAATCCTTCAGTTTTCTATAACAGAATAATCTCTCCTGTTGAGATTATAAGTATTTTATTCCCAAAGACATCAAACACATATACCCTTGAGAACACAAAATGTTCCAGATGATCTCCAGGAGCCAATACAAAACTTACACAGCAGCAGCAGATAAGGACAATTGCAAAGGCCTGAAGAACTCCGGCTGTGCCTACCACCCATGTAAGGCGCAGAAAGAGGATCACTCCAAAAATATTTTGTAGACATGGGAGGTAGACACCCATGAAGGTACCCATTTGGGGGGTCTAGAAAGAAAGATGTAGACAGAAGAAAAAAATTAGTCATCCATAAGAGACGCTTTTCATTTTTAAATACCATTTTCATTTTTAAATTTTTAGATCTTTTCTATAAAAACCTGCTCCCTAACTACCATATTAATATTAAAGCAAGTTTAAGTGATATCTTCAAAAGACACATATAAATCTCTATTTTATAAAAGACTATTCCTAGCCAGGCATGGTGGTGCACACCTGTAATCTCAGCACTTGGGAGGCTGAGTTTGACACTTGGATCACTGTGAGTTTGAGGCCATCCTGGGCTACACAGGGAGGTCAAGGGCAGCCTGGACTACATAGCAAGACCCTGTCTCAAAAAAATAAAAACAAAACAAAAACAACAACAGCAACAAAAAAGAATAATGACTTGATGGAAATCCTTCAGAATTAATTGGTAAATGGAATAGATGGTGAAATGAACCCCAAGGGTCATTTTACAGCTTTTTAAAGAGCTGAACAACTAGAAGGATAAATCATATATGTTACCTCATTTTCATTCTAGGAAAAACTAATATTTACTTTTTTTAAAAAATCCAACTTCACAACAGATAGACGGCATGAGCAGATGGGTGTGGGATGCTCTTGACCTGCTATTACCTCTCGGTGGAATGCTATTCTCCCACATGGCTCACTCTCTCACACCAATTAGGTCTCTGCTCAAGAATCACCTTGTCAGAAAAAAAAAAAGAAAAGAAAAGAAAAGAAAAAAAGAATCACCTTGTCAGGAAGGCTTTCTCTATCCAACCTGTCTGAAGTAGCAAACCTCTCCACCTGGCTCCCTTGCCAGTCTCAGTCTCTTTAATCCTCCTCAAATATTTGTTAAAGTACTTCTCAAGACTTAATGTTGTACATTTTTACAGAGTTAAAACAGTCTAAAGACTGTCTCCTCACATGACAGCCAGGACACTGTTTGTACTGTGACACCAGTGCCAACAGGTGCCTGGCACTTGTCAAGCATTTAAAAGTTACGAGTCACTGAATGATTCTTGTTATTCTGAGGCCTCACCTTGGTGGGCTTCTTTTTCCCTTCAGTGATATTTTCTGCCTCTTCATGTTCCTTTGCTCCTTGTGTCAGATTAGTGTAATTGGCCATGCGATTGAGGAGAGAAGACACCTTTGGTCTGGTGTCCATTTCTTCCTATAAAGCCAGAAATACGGAAGAAATGAATTACAAAGCACAATGAAAATAAGCCTCAAAATAAACTTTCTTGATATGAAAGTAAATAAAAAGGAGACGACTAGAGAAGTGGAAAGGAATGAGCTAAGAGGAGAAAAGGGAAAAGAAGGTTACTGGGGTAAAAAAGATCAAAGTGTATTATATGCATGTACAATACGCCAAAATAAAACCCATTATCCTCAATAAATACTATGTAAAAAAACAACACCAAATTGTTCTACCTGAAAACTGTAAAGTAAATAAGAAAATTTTCACAAGTAAGTATTTTAAGAAAATTTACTAATCAGACTATTTTTTCATCACTCTTAAAGGATCATATAGGTTGGACATGGGGTGCACACCTGTAATCCCAGCACCCGGGAGGCTGAGGTAGCCAGCATAGACTACATAGTGAATTCAAGGCCAGCCTGAACTACATAGTGAGACCTTGTCTCAAAAAAAAAAGAAAAATGTTAACACTTTATAAGGGTGTTATGAATCCTTATAAAATTTTTAATTGACAAATTGAAATTTGCATATTTTAGCCAGGTGTGGTGGTACAGTTATAATCTCAGCACTCTGGGAGGCTGAGGCAGGAGGATCAGGAGCTTTAGTCCAGCCTGGACAACTTGTTGACTTAGGTAGACTCTGTCTCAAAATAAGTAATAATTTTTGTTTGTTTGTTTTGTTTTGTTTGGTACTGGAGATTGAACTCGGGACCTTGCGCTTTTGAGGCAGGCAGCAGAAACACTGAGCTACATCCCCAGCCCAACTTTTTGAAAAAGCATTGGGGATGTAGCTCAGTGTGAAGGCTCTCAGTTCAATCACCAGTTCCACCAAGTAAGTAAATAAATAAATTGCATGCATTTACAGTGCACAACATGATGTTTTGACATATGCACACATTATGTAATGATTAAATCATGCTGGTTAATATATCCGTCACCACACTTATTTTTTTATAGCGAAACCATTGAGAATCTGCTGTTTTAGCAATTTTCAAGTATATATTAACTACAGTTATCATGAATAACAGATCTGAAATCCTTATTGTTTTAGTTACTTTTCTCTCATTGCTGAGACCCAAAGTTAAAAGAGGAAAGGTTTATTTAGCTCACACTTTGTAGAGGTTTCAGTCCATAATTGCTGGCTCCAAGGCAGGGTGGTGTGGCAGGCAGGCATCGCAAAGGAGAAATAGTTCATAGTGGGTAGAAGGTAACAAAGCAACAAGGAACAAGACAAACCTCTTTCTGTGCCTTATATTTCATCCAGGCTACCGGAATTAGGTTGGCTACCAAACCAATCAGCGGACTGATTTAGTAATCACAAGCCCTTAATCCTAGCACCTTTATTCCTAAGCATTGCACTATGAATCAATTGCACACTCTAGATACAGCCACCTCTGAAAAAGCCCCACCTATGACTGCATGTGGCTTTGGGGGGACATCTAGACATAAGCCATGATACTTATTCTTCCTGACTAATGGAAATTTTGTGCCCTCTGATTAACATCACTCCATCAGTCCCATCTATGCCCCCTGATAACTAGAATTCTATTCTATGCTTCTAGGAATTCAACTTTCAGATCATACATGTAGTGAGATCAGTGGTATTTGTCTTATTTCACTTAACATAATTTCTCCAAATTCATCTGTTGTCACCAGTGACAGGATTACCCTCTTATTAAGACTGAACATTATCTCACTGTGCACATGTACTGTGTCTCCTTATTTAAGGTTGAACACTGTCCTACTGTGTATGTGTATCATGTTTCCTTGTCTGTTCATCTACTGTTGGACACTTAGGTGGCATACCTTGGCTACTGTGAACAATACTGCAACAAACATGGAAATGTAGACATCATTTTGACATTGTGACTTCATTTTCTTTGGCTATGTGGTGGAATTGCTGGATCATGTGACAGTTCTATTTTGACTTTTACGAGGAAACTTCATGCTGTTTTTCACTTATACTAATCCATCCATCCTTATCTCTCCCCCGACCCCACCAGGGACCCAACCCGGGGCCTCACACTTCCTAGGCAAATTTTCTACCACTGAGTTATACCCCCAAGCCCCTGCTTATAACATTCTTAATGAAAACTTTCATTATTCTTTGTAGTAACTATATAACTTTATCTACAGTGAAAAAATCACTGGATCCAGTAATTTAAAAGTTCATATTAGTAATGTAAACCTTGACCATAATATCACACCTCTCTTCTGGCTACTAACATTTATGGCAATTATTAGTTTTATTTATTTATTTATTTTTAAGGTGCGGGGGATCAAACCTGGGGCCTTCCATATGCTATGCAAATACTTTACCACTGAGCTACATTTCCAGCTGTGTAATAATTATAGCACCAAGCAAGGGCAGAGAAAAAACATTTGTGATTGAAATAAATATTCAACTCAGACCTTAGTCTCAAGGCTGAGAGAAAAGAATTTTTTTTAACAAAGCACATTGCAAGATATGCATGGGCATTGTTGTCTAAAGACAGACAAAGGTAGTGTTGAAATAAACCAGTTTCCTTTCAACAGTCTGGCCACAGACCCATCAGAGTCTACATTGTCTCAGTCAGTTAACACATACAGGTCCTCCTTCATTATGCTAAATGAAATAAGCACAGAGAGATAAATACTACATAATTTGACTTATATGCAGACTCTAAAAGTTAACTCAGCCTGGGTATGGTGGTACAGGCTTGTAATCCCAGGTCTTAGGAGGTTTCGGGATCGCCATGTGTTTGAAGCCAGCCAGGGCTACATAGTGAGTTCAAGGCCAGTCTGAACTACATAGCAAGATCCTCTCAAAAAACCAAAAAGTTAACTCAGAAGTAGAGAGTAGAATAGTGGCTACCAGAAGCTGAGGGAAAGAGAGAAGAATAGGGAGATGTCAGCCCAAGGGTACAAAGTTTCAGTTGGACAAGAAGAATAAGATTTTCAGATCTATTGCACAATATAGTGATACCTTTAATATATTGTGTATTTCAAAACTGCTAAGAAACTAAAATTCCAATGTTTGTATCACTAAAAAGTATAAGGGGTGATGGATATGTTAAGTGGCTTAATTTAATCATCCCATAATATCTATATAAATGAAAATATCACATTTTACCTATAAATACAATTATTTGTTACAAAAGAAGACATTTTTGGAATAGGGGAGGCTTGAAGAGGGATAGTAAATGATTAAGATATGTTATATATATGTGCCAATCCCCCCAAAGAATGTAAATTTCATGTACTGCAAACACAGACCAACAAAAAAGGACATAAATCTTAATCTGGCAGCCTGCTTCTTAAGAGTGGTTATTGTTTAGATAGTCCTAAGTTAAATGACAGTCCTAGCAAACACAGAACTGTTCTATTTGTTTTGTTTTTGGTACCGGGGACCAAACTCTGGACCTTGAACTTGTGAGGCAGGCAGCGGCACCACTGAGCTAAATCCCCGGCAACATAGGATTGTTTTACACTCAAATTATTCTGCATCTAATCAGGTTGCAAGATTCTCCATATCCCTGAGAAATCAGCACTCTTCTTTCTTCCTTCATAACATTTAATAGGTACTTGCTATAATTAGATCATATAGACAAAATTAACTAAAATGACAAGTTACAACATAAGTATATTTTAACATTAGTTATTATCCAGTTTGTACTACTTTAAAATCAAATAGAAAACTAGCTGTCATGAAATCTCTATTCCTATAATCTCTGTAGTTTTCTCTCAAACATTACCTCAAAGAGTGCCAAATTTTTATCAAAATATTCATCTCCTTCTTCATAATTGGAATTACTGAGATAAGCATTTCGAGCTTTCTTATGCCCATCATCTGGAAAAAACAGTAAACCAAGTTAGTTTCTTACTGGCGTTGAAGAAATAGCACCAAACAACTGCAAGTTGCCTCTTTGTTAATCCAAATTCAATCTAAGACTCAATCAATCAACACTGTTTGCAGAATGTGGCTCCCTTTTCAGCAGAAGAAAAACAAATCTCTAAGAAATAAACACAGGTCATTCTTATTTTAATTCAAATACCTTTGGAGGCACTATTCTTTTAGCCTATCAAGGCCCTATACTTAAAAGTTACCCAAATCCAGGATAGAAAAAAACACCCAGAGCATTTATGAAGTACCTATTGAGGATATAATATTATGCTATATCTAAGGTAGTTTACACATCGTGGCCGTTATCACTGGAGAAAAACTCTCTGCCTCCAGGGCTGTCTGACCTTTTATCAATTATATTAGGTCACTTAACCAAGTATTATTTTTGAACAAATATGCTATTGTTGTAAAAAGAGGTACCTGAAGGGGGAAGGAGAGGCAATGGAGGAATAGGAGAAGTAAAAAAAATTAAGATTATGTACCAACCTCCTATGATGCATGTAATCATTATATACTACAGACATGTACTAATAAAAAAAATGTTTAAAAACAGGCACCTGATAGGAATTTAGTGAACAAAGTATGAAGAAAAAAAAAAGAAAAAATTGAGTCCCTAGGACCGCAAAGTTTGTGTTGAGTATTTCCTTAACTTTGGTTTTGTAGTGTGTAAAAGTTAGACAATTGCCAGCCATGGGCCACAGGCCTGTAATCCCAGCACTTGGAAGCCTGAGGCAGGGGGGTCCTCACAAGTTTGAGGCCAGCCTGGGGTACACAGTGAATTCAAGGCCAGTTTGAACTACAAAGTGAGACTCTGCCTAAAAAAATAAAATAAAATAAAAAGTTAAACAATTACATTCTCGCAGTAAAAAAGAGAAAAAGTGTAAAATTATATAAATCCTACTAAAACAAGATTTTCAGTGGGTGTGATAGCTCACCCTTGCAATCCCAGCTGAGGCAGGAGGATCATGAGTTTGAAGCCAGTGTGGGCAACTGAGTGAGACCCTGTCTCAAAATATATATAAATAGCTATGTATGTTGTTGAGGTAGAGCACCCTAGGTTCAATTCCCAATACCACCAGAACAAAAACGAAAACTACTACGATTTTTCAATATTGAAAAAGTATGTATCAATATAAAATGTTAACAATATTAAAAATCCTATTATCCTTAAATATATAAAATGAGCTTGGAAAAAGCCAACAAGTTATTAGAATGACTGGGTTGTGTCAAAGGACACAAAACCAACCTGAAGTGGTTCTCAGTGGCCAAAAGTGAGATACTATAAATACTAAAAATGTGATAGGATTGAATTGCAGATATACGAAATACCCTGCTGGGTGTGGGACGGCACGTGCCTGTTATCCCAGCCACTCAGCAGGCTGAGGCAGAGAAATCAGAAGCTCGAGGCCAGCCTTGGCAACTCTGCAAGACTCTTTCTCAAAAAATATATAAATAGACAGACAGACAGACAGACAGACAAGACAGGAAGGAAGGACTGGGGATGTAGCTCAGTGATAGAGCAACCCTGGGTTTGACCCTCAGTACTACGCTAAAAAGTCATTTTGTAGCCCTTCCTGAACGTGCAGCGAATATTTTGAAGCACTTCTTGGGATGAACACTAATGCAAACTATGGAAGGAACCTCAGCTACCACATGGGGAAAAAAAACCACAGCCCAGTCAGTCCACATAATCACTACAAACGGTAGAGAAGAGCACCATGAGCCATCTGTCCTCCAAAGACACACCCCAGGAACCCATCTCCTCCAGGTGGGCCCTACTTCCTAATAATAGCACATTCAGCTCTAGCACCCCCACCATCCGGTCACCTCTCCAGGAGTCTCTCAATCCAGTCAAATTGACAAGATTAACTGGCACAATTTCATACCTTGTCAACCTGACACCTAATTATATCTCCTTAAACCATACTTAATCCATAAAGATATTAAGTCCATAATTAGACCCACCATCATGTAACTATCCAGTGTACAAACAAAAATGGACTAATTGCCTCTCCAAAGTTCTCCCATGTTCCCTCCCCCCTCC